CCCGTTCCAGATTCTTCTGGAAGGGCAGCGCCGCCCGAGCGGTGCCGGAAAGAGCCGAGGAGGCGGCCGGGGCCGGGCGGGCTCCCCGCCGGCGGCGCCTGCGCACGGCGGGGCTGCTGCCGGTTGGTGCCGGCGCTCCGCAGTGGGGGAGCGGCGGGCGCGGAGCCGGGGCCGGTCCCAGTCACAGTCCCAGTCCCTGTCCCAGCGGAGCCGCGGCGGGCGCGGGAAGCAGCGGGCGCAGCCATGTCTGTGGTGGGCATCGACCTCGGTTTCCTCAACTGCTACATCGGCGTGGCGCGGAGCGGGGGCATCGAGACCATCGCCAACGAGTACAGCGACCGCTGCACCCCGTGAGTACCGGCGCTCCCCGGGGCCCGGCGCTGCCGCTCCGCCCGCCACGGGCAGCCCCGTGTGTCCCCCGCGGGGCCGTGTGCCCTGCGCGCCCCGCGGCGCTCCCCGCGTGGTCCCCCCGGACGCTGCAGCCCCCGCGGCGGGAGCCGGGAGAGAGCCCCCTTGCCGGGAACGGGCGCAGCGGTGCGTGTGCTGGGGCCGGAGGTTGCCCGGGAGACATTCGAGTAGTCTTGCGTCTGGCTGTCCCGGCTTGTGGCTCTGCGTGTCCTTGAAATCCCGCGCTGTGAATGTGCCGCACGGCTCCGGAGCCACAGCGGACTTTTTTTTTTCCGTCCTTGTCGCGCTTTGGTTTGGGGTAGCCCAAGAGATCTCGGTGGAGTGCATGTGTTTCCCCAACTCTGGAACGCCTGCCAGAGCTGGAAGCGTTTTCACTAACAATTACATGATGGAGTGGTGGCGAGACTGGGGAGGAGGAGGAGGACGTTAATTCACCAGGGAAACAGGGAAGTGGCGCGATGAATTCCTTCTCCTTAAACCTGTTCTTACTTGCACCGCATCTGCTGGCCGTGGAATACCGAGGTCTGGCGAGGAAGAGAGGGGGGGGCAGTGGGCAGCGTCTGTGATGATGGGATACGCAAGAGTAGGTGGAGACTTTGCTCCTCTGTTTCTATGGGATACGTCTAGGATTTTAACAGCTCTGTCTGTGCATAATTTTCAAGGAGGATTCAGGAATTCGTGTAATACTCATGAAAATCGGGGCTTGGATGGTGCTTCCGTTTGTTAAAGGAACTTGTAGCCAAGAGAGAAAGCTGTTTCTGCTGTGTGAGGCTGTAATAACTTCAGCTTTGCTGTCCTTTTGATGTCAGAGAAATGTAGGTGTTGGTTTATTTTCTAAAAAGTTGTTTTTTAGAAGTGCAAAGAAGTTGAGTGCTGAAATGCGTGCTCTCTGTTTTAATGGGAATACTGTTTAATATTCCTTTTACTCTTGGGGAAAATACACTTTTCACATTAACTCTCAAGCAGTCATTATCCTTGTGCACGTTTTACGAGAACTGAAATTCAGGGGCTTTTCAAATTCAGTGCAAGGAATCCCATGAAGTTGTTGCCCAAAGAATCCTCAGGCAGCTGCAGTTTCCTTCCCCCTTATGATGAAGAGTACTTCCAAGTTGTTCTTGCAGTATGTTCTTTGCAGGAAGGCTTCTCTGTATTTAATATTTTTCACATTGATGTCTGATTAACTGTACTTTCAAGATTTTTGCAGAGGGATTATGAAGGATTTACAAGTTGGCAATTACAGCATCTGGAGTACATGTACAGTTAAAGGTAGTAGGTGTCTCGCTTAAAGTGACATTTTCCTTGGCCTTCTCTGTCTTAAAATGCAGTAATATAGGAGAACGTGAGGGAAGTCTTTTTTAACACCGTTGTCTTGAGGCAAACCAAAAAAAGGTCAATAGAAATGTAACGAATTTATTAGTTATGTAAGTTTATCATAGTAGCTAAACCTTAACTTCAGACATGATTTGAGTGATGTAGGCAGATCTGACTCTTGAATCATCAGAACTTTTGTTCTTATTGCACATAGCAACACAACGCAGTAAATGAACTCCTTATTTAAATGTTCCTATACAGGTGCTTACGTCATTCAGATACTTAAGTTAGCTAATAGTTAACATGGACTGGAGATGTCCCAAATACTTGTGAGTTACTCCCAGAAACACGAAGTCTGCTGTGTCTGTGTAGCACTGCGTAAAAATACCTGGGCAGGCCAGTAACCCTTTCCCTTTTTGGGGAGGATCTGTATTACCTGAGTTTAACACAGAATTCCTAAGCCATAAATCCAGTGCCCCTGTTGTTACGAAACATTCAGGTGGTCCTTTGTTAATATTTGCCCGAAATGTACATCCTGTAATCTGATGCTTGGGATTGTTGGTGTCTGTAAGATCTGTATCATCTTGGAAGCTTTAGCACAAATATATTTAGAAAGAAAGGAAAAAGATTTTGCCATGAAGCCATCCATTTCAGTAGAACTTGTATATTTTAAGGCTTTTGGCCCTTGGTTGTCTTTGGAAGTTAACTGATGCTTGGCTTTTTCTGAACTGGCAATTCCAGCCAGTCTGTTGTTCGTGTTTCCAGTGCTCCTGGCACATTAAACTCATGGCTAGTGGCCCTCTCAGGTGCTCTCCCCCACCACTGTATCTTTGTGGGAAAACAGCCAGTTGCTGGTAGCTCATAATGTTTTAGTAGCTTTTTTCAGACCACGTGTGTTTGTTGATTAAGATCGTGAAGGTAGAGCATCTTCTTCAAAACAATGCAAGGGAGAGGATGGAAATGTTGTTCTGGTGAGGAGAGTGAAGTCTGGGTACTGCTCTGCAGCTCTCCTCAAAGCAAGCTGAGGGTGGTGGTAAGGGAAGCAGTTCAGTATCCGTGTATCCTTAGGGTGGATGCTCTTCCTAGAGGGCTGGTTTGGATACTGCAGAAGTTTTTTGTGCCAAAGAGAGCACATTCATTTTTTGAGATTGTTGCTTCCCTGCCAAGGGAAGAAGAAACCATCCATCCCTCTGTGCTGAAAGTGAGTAATTGAAGTAAATCGTGGCAGGAGCTGTGGTGTGTCAAGTAGCTTCTGACTTGATGCTTCATGCTCTGCATGGGTTATGTGCCAGTAATTGTCTGTCAGCAGAGTCAGATTCCTACACTGAAAAGGCCTGATACAACAGCATTAGTTTGTAAATACCGTTTGCCTACTTTATGAAGAGCTCTTTTATCTGACCTTCCTTAATTATCACAAGGTATGATTGGGAACTGTAGTGTTGTGACGCTAAAAATGGTGAAAGCTGTTGGTGAAAGCTGAATTACATATCTGAATATGTAGGGCAGGGCCGTGTCTGTTTGCAGCAGTGAAATGTGGGGGTTTTGCATGTTCAGTGTGGTGTCACAGAGAAGAGGTTGCTAGAGGATACTCTCAAATTACACTGTTCTCGTTGCAGTGATGATGGAGAGGAGGCAGGAAGCAATCTGCTGTAGTGACCTTTATACATTAATTATAAACAATTACAATTGCATTTGAACTGTGTGAAACCTGGGTTGTATCTGTTGCTTACTCCTGAATGGTTTTAGCCAGATTCGTTCCCTTTTGAGGAACCTATTTCAAACCTGTAACGTGAAGAATGGTGATAGTAACTTCCAGAAGAAAACCCAACTGTTTCCAAAGGTGATAATGAGGAGGGCCAGATGGTGACCGTGACTTGGGGCAACCTTTGCTGAGCCAGAGGGTGTTCAGTGGTGACAGAAGAAACAGCAAGTACTGCATTAGAGCTTTCGCAGCCCTGGGAGCTGTTTGCAGATATCCCCCTTTTTGCCTGTTTGCAGCAGGTACTTGGTAGTCCTCAGTTACGGAAGTGCTCGAGAGCTTGTGAATTTCATCTCCCCTGGCCTTAAATGTTTAAGGTTTTTTTCCAGTTGTTGTTTTAGGATTGTTGGTAAGGGCTCTTACAGTGTGAGTGTGGTCCTGTAGGACTCAAGGGTTTGTTGAGTCAAAAAACCCTGACTGGTAAAGTTCAGGTTTTTTAAACTAAATGTCACAGGCTTCTTTTCACAGTTACCCGTGACCTAGAAGTGACTATTCATGCTTTTCCTTCATGATGAGATCTGTAGAAGCTTTTACAGAATTCCCTAAATGCAATTATAATGACAACAGTTGCAGTGCTTGCAGTTTCTAAACTAACTTGCAAAGAGTAAGAAGAATTCCACTTCAAGTTCTGGTGCTTCATGCAGTAATGCTCTTAAACACCACATCCATGTTCTGCTACTTGAATTTTTGTGGGTGTTTTATAGTACCATGGAAATATTTTATGATGTTTTCTTTTAAAGCTGATTTTTTTCCTGTTTTTTTTTTTTTTTTAGAGCATGTATATCTTTAGGATCCAAGACCCGAGCCATTGGGAATGCAGCCAAGAGCCAGGTAAATGGATCACAGACTTTATTGTGACTTATTAGACTTATATCCTGTTGAACTGTGGGAAGAAAAGTAACAAATAAAGTTGGTAATTTTATGTTTATGTGAATTTTCTGCAGTAAGTGTGTATTTCACAGTAATAGTTATTGCTTCAACAATATTAGCAACCCTGTATTAAAATTGAAACACTATTTCTGCATTGTTTTGTAATACAGAGTGGGGGGGGAAAAGGGGAAGATACAGAAAACCTTGTTTGTTCCCCAGTAAAATAATATTTTCTTGCTTACTCATGACAGCAAGAACAGAGTTCGTAATTAAATCTCTACTGGGGGTGGGGAGGGATAATGTGCTTATGCTTTAGAAAAGCTGAAACTGAAGTTGAACAGAGTTTCATAGAGGTACTGGTTGTTGCTTATAATGTGAAATGAATGTGTTTTGGTTATGTGCTGTCTCACTTTGGAGCTTTGAACAGAAATGAAATTTCTCTGATCCACAGTAAATTCATTTGCAACCTCAGAAAACCTCCCTTTGGGGAAAAAAAGCCACGTACGAGATTTGTAATAGCCTGTATGAGTCTGCAAATTCAAAGTAGGTCAGGTCTTGCTCTCTTTTTTTGTGTGCATGGGTGATGTTAGCATGTGGAAGACTTCCTTCCCCTGAGATTGGTGTAGATTTGGAAATCTGCCTGGCAGATGTGAAGGTAGGAGAGCCCCCGTGATGTACCATGAGCAGGCAGTAAATGCAGAAGCCATATCACTTTCATTCTGAGCAACTTCACACGTTTTATCCGAGCTCAGCCCCTGAGCTTTGCTGCTGAGAAGGTGTCCTGTCAGTATTCTTCCCAGCTGGCAAGTTTGCTCTTTAGATTAGTAAACTAGTTCATCTTGGACAAGATTACCCTGGAGTAGTTTCTTTTGACAGCTTTAATACTGCCTTCACTGGGATTTGTTTCTTCTGGCCCTTTCTTTGCTTAAGAGCCTGTTCTTAAAGTAACTAGGTCAAAACACTGATGAGAAAACAGGTGTGGGGAGGCTTTATGTCCAGTTGGGATCTGAATTAGAGGAGAACTTTAAAGGAAGTGAAATGTGTTCATTTGGTGAAGGTTCATTTAAGGCTAATGTAGGTAATAACTTCATTTATTCCTACTGACAGCCATTGCAACAAATATCAAATATCTCAAATATTGCATTATGTATCAGAAAGTTCCTCTAATGTAAAAATTGTGAAAATTGATGGCAGCAAGCTAATGAATATTACAGAGAGAAATAAACTTGAATTTTTTTAATGGAGGCCATAGATTAAAAAACAGATTCTTCTTTCTCTCCCTACACGCGTTTCTTTCCAGTGAATTTGTAGGGCTTTACACAGGTCAGCGTGTGAATTAAACCCAAAAATTAAACCCAGCATAACAAGAGTTTCTTTCTTCACAGTCCTCTGTAGCCTGCATGTCACAGGTAATTAAAATATCTTTTCCACAGATCGTCACAAACGTAAAAAATGCAATACATGGTTTCAAAAAACTGCATGGAAGAGCATTTGAAGATCCTTACATACAAGCCGAGAGGGCCAAACTTCCCTATGAACTTCAGAAGATGCCTAATGGCTCTGTAGGAGTAAAGGTGAGTTAAAGCCTTGGGCAGAGTACCTTTAGAGGTAGATTTGGACTTTTGTCGCTTCTTGCAAGAACAAACTTACATTTTCCCCAAGAAGGCTCCAAATAAGTCCTGCACTTTCTACCCAAGATGTCCATTGAGGTTTCTCATCAATTGTATTTGCTTTCCATAGTACTTTCCATTACTAGCTTTTCACCTTACCCCACTAGATTTACCTTCAGATATGTTCAAATGCCTTAAAAAAAACCTGTGCTTGATTATTAGTTTCCCTCTGAGATTAGGTCTTAGACGTGCAGAGACCAAGTTTCAGGAGAACAGGATAATGTTCTGAATATAAAATCTGAACAAGTTAGTTGTAATTTGCTTCCAGACTAAATGGCTGGAAGCTATTCTTCTCAGAGTTCTGGCTTTCTGGGTTCAATTTCTGAGTGTGTCTGTCTTTTTAGCATTTTAATTTGGATAGGGAATGCATTTTTGAAGCAGATCTCCCAATCATCTTCACTGCACTTTGAGTTGCTTTTTGACAGGGCTTCGTACCACAGAGTGGGTTTTGTTCTGTACACCTGGTGAAATCACTCTAATGGCCAGTGTAAATACACATCCTTCTGGTTTTCCCTGCACAGGAGTGCTTGGGATGGCTAGAGAGATAGTAGTCCATCAGGAATTCAGGATACAGAACTTCAAGTGAAAGGCTGAAGGTTCAGATGTGTTTCCTGAGCAGGGCAGGACTGTAAGAATTGCCTTGTTTGCACCTTCCCTCCCTCATGTGCTCGAGTGAGCCTTGCAGGGAAGCAAATGTTCCTTGGGTTTGCTCCAAAACTCTTCATTTTCAGCTTGTGTTAGGGTTATGTATTATGCTTTGTTGTTGTTTTTTTAAGTTAAAAAAAAAAATATGAGCAACACAAATACTGTATCATTCTAAATAACCCCTTGAGATAATGGAGGTATTAAGTTTTCCACAAAACAATTTTCACCTAAACTGAACTGGTTTAGGATTTGTTGTAGGTAGCACAGATCTGTAGCATCAGTTGCTATGGTGTTATTTGTGTCTAGAGTCTGGTATTGAACCTGAGTCTCCATTCTCAGCATTACAAACGATGTCCAAGTTGCACATGTTCAGGGAAGAGTTCAGATTACTGATCACAGAATCACAATTCTCTGTTTCAGGTGAGATACCTTGATGAAGAAAGACTTTTTGCGGTTGAACAGATTACAGGAATGTTACTGGCTAAATTGAAAGAGACTTCAGAAAGTGCTTTGAAGAAACCAGTGGCAGATTGTGTGATTTCGGTAAGTGGCAATATATTTATTGTAATCTGGAGATAGCTTAACGTAAACTAGGACCAGATATCCATGGTGCAGTGGGAATAGATGCAAGGAGCGGATAGAAATCGTATCCCCAAAAATAGGCCTTTGGTAAAGGTTTTCCAAATGAGAATACTTTTGGAATCATATGTGAGAAGATGAGAAATTTGTGAAATCAAGAGCGTGTTTTCAGAAAGAACATATTGCTTAAGCTGATCCAAGCTGTCTATCTACAAGGGCTGCATGTAGTATTCCTGGTTACTGTAGTTCCTGTTATAAATGGGAGCTGTCCTATGCATAAGCGTATCCTCCTTGATTCCGAAGACCCTTCCCAAATTCGTGTTGAATTTCTTTGTTGTTACATAGTTAAGCACTGTTGTAGTGCAGTTGAGGGTTGTCTAAACTCTCTGAGGGTCACAGTAACACTTTGAGAAGCCCAAATTACTTGGCTGTGTTTGAAGAAGTCTTTTCATTTCGTTGCTTTGCCCATGTTGGTTTTTTAGCTGATGCCCTTCCCGACGAGGAGGTTTTGTTCCCGATACCAATTCCCATGCCTGCTTTTCCCATGGTTTTTGTTTACTGGCTCTGCTGGGAAGTCTGGGCATGAGGGATTGCAGAGACATTGCATCTGTCAGAGACATGGAAACTGGAAAGTCATGTACTTTAGCTGTTAGAAATGCGCTTTGATGTTTTTCCTTGCTTCCTTTCGGTATACAAAGACACTTAAGAGAGCACCTCCCACGCACAGAGGGATCCTTGGCAATACACCACAGTGGTAGCCAGCAAAACACCCTGTGAGTGTGGTTCTGACTGAAGCTGAAGATGTGCCAGCTGATGGCAGCCAGTTTCTAAATGGGCTCTGATTATGCTTGGGCTGTTTTTGATGGCGCTGAATGTTGTAGCTCCCTGTAAGCTGGCACTGTGCTGGAGGTGATATCTGAAAAATGGGTACAGGTTCAGGTTTAGTTCTGGCATCACTGCAGTGCTTCTGGCTGTGACTTATTTTTGGGGCTATGTGTGAATATTTATTGTGTTCGCTTTGTCCTGCACAAATGTTTTCAGTACCTAGTAATGATTTTAAGATTAAATGACTCATCGGAAGAATCTGAAAAAGTTTTGGGGTTTTTTTTGTGGTGCTTAAATCTGCTTTATTTAAAACAACCTTGAATGCCACTTCATTTTTGTCATATTTTGAAATCTTAATTAAAATATGAACTAAAAGGCATTACCTACCTGTTTTATTCAGGCTGCCTTATTAATTTGTGGCTAGCTCATAACAGTTTCTTGTGGCAATGACATTTATGGGGTAGCTTAATGGGCAAGTCTGACTTACATAAATTAAAAAATCCATATTCCATAATACCCTGTGTTTGTTATTTTTGGAAACAGGTCCCTAGTTTCTTCACTGATGCTGAAAGGAGGTCTGTAATGGCAGCTGCACAGATTGCAGGATTAAATTGTCTGAAGCTGATGAATGAAACTACAGCAGGTAAAGGGCAGAAACTTTTTTTTTTTTTCCTTTTCTTTTCTTGTTAAATCCATTCAGGCTCTTGAATGTGAGGGTGATGACATCCTGCTGTTACACAATTAGGAGCTTGAGAAAGAGCTGTCCGGGCTGGTCCTGCCCAATCCAGCTTGGGAACTGGAAACACAGCTGTGGGGTGGTGTGCAGCACTTAGGAGGCATCCAAAATATTTTTCATTTTTAACTACTTAATGTGTATGCTTTAACATAAACTGCTTCTGTGTAAACTGCATTTTTATGGAACTTTTCCAAAAGTGGATTTGCTGATCAAATTATAAAAAACAACTTGAACTGTATGACTTTTCAGATATCCAAGTCAACTGAGCCTGTGGGGTAATGACAGTTTAAACTTGTGGCAATCCCATCAGCTGCGGCAATGGCACAACTGGTTCTATAAAGTAACTTCGCTCTTCTGGTCATGGTAGAGCATAGAAACATCTCACACTTCATGGGAACTAAAGTTGGAGCTGTTTAAATCAGTAATTTCTATTTTTCTTGATTTAAGTTTTCTTTGCTCTCAGTCTCAAGCAGCTTTCCCAATGAGGGCTGGTTAGTGGATTTGTGTAAACCAGTCTTCTAAAACTTTTTTTTTTTTTTTAATTTCTTGGGCACATGTGAGTTTTGCAAAGCTAAGATAAAAAATATTGAAAGTAAAGCATTTCAAGGGAGAGGTGTAAGCAGGAGGCTTAATCTGTGCAGTTTCCCAAATTACGATGTTAATTTGGCCGGAAGCAGAACTGAATTACAGGGTGATACTTCAGGAGTGGTAAACCTTCAGTTGACATTTTTCATCTCATGTCAGTGAAAAACATATTTTCAACATGTTCTGAACATTTGAGCAGTTATGGAGGTGTTTAGAAAGGGTAAAGAATGGGTAGTGTGTGTCTTTTGATAGTGCTTTTAATGCACGCTTTACATCTTGCCCTTAACTTCCATGGGTTGATGTTTTCCAGTTGCATTAGCCTATGGAATATACAAGCAAGATCTGCCAGCCTTGGAAGAGAAGCCAAGAAATGTGGTCTTTGTAGATATGGGACATTCTGCATATCAGGTTTCCATCTGTGCTTTTAACAAGGGAAAACTGAAGGTAACCTTTTAAGTCATGCATTAAAATTCCATACGCCTGAAGTTATTTAACACTCAAAATACTGCTCTTTGGAAGGATTATTTTTTAAATGTCTATAGCAAATACTTTTTAAATGTGGAATACAAAACCCTTTTGTTGTTTTTTTGCTGTTTCACTAAGTCGGTTTTTGTAAAACGCAGAAGTGAACTGTCTCCCAAAATGTGTTTTGAAAAGTGTTTGATAATTGAGCACACCACAGTTTTTGCGCCATGTTATATCACTGATACATTTGCATAATCAGGTAGTCTCAAAAGCATTGTAGTTGTGCAGCTGACTTACTCATGGGAAATGCTTTAACTCCTGAGTCGCTCCATGATGCTGGGGTTTTTTTCCAAGTTGAAAGTCTTAAATCCAACAGGATGCAAGGCAGAACTGAACAGGAAGTTTTCACTTCCTGCTTTTTTGTCTGTGAGCTGCTGCTGGCTGAATGCTTTTGAACTTGTCTTTGGTAGCAAAATGCCATTTGAAGTTGTGTGGAAGATGATAGCACATTTCGCTGTGTTGAGGAAATGACACAGAACAAACATTGTCTAATAGCTTCTCATCTTTCTTTCACTTCTGTCAGGTCTTGGCTACTACCTTTGACCCTTTTGTAGGTGGTAGGAATTTTGATGAGGCTTTGGTAGACTACTTCTCTGAAGAATTCAGGACAAAATACAAACTGAATGTAAAAGAGAATCCCCGAGCACTGTTGAGATTGTATCAGGAATGTGAAAAGCTCAAGAAGCTGATGAGTGCAAATGCTTCTGACCTTCCACTCAATATTGAGTGCTTCATGAATGACCTTGATGTCTCCAGTAAGATGAACAGGTATGGTGTGCTGTTTGCACTGAGGTGCAGGGGAGGGTGGTCTCTAAGCTGCCTTGTAACGTGGAATGCTCTTGCTGTCCTGCAGAGCTCAGTTTGAGCAGTTGTGTGCTGCCCTTCTGGCCAGAGTGGAGCCTCCTCTAAGAGCAGCCATGGATCAAGCAAGTAAGTAGGAGTAAATTTAGGTACTGCTAGTAATCCAGTTATCCTAGAGCTCCTTAATGATTATCTTTTTAATATATTTTTGTATTTATTAGAATTGCAAAGCTAAATACTGAAAAGTTTCAATGTAAGTTCCATTCATACGCTTGTCATGACTGCATGATGCCATTCCCGCCTCATTTAGTGCACATGCCACTCTGCAGCCTTGGTTATTGACCCTCATTCACCCTGTGTCGTGGAAAAGGCTGGCACTCTGAATTGGTTTAAAAAAAACACAAAACCAAATCAAACCAAAATGATGATGGGGGAAAAAACTATTATTCTTTACTGCAACCTTGGGGCCAGCCTGTTCCATGTGATACATACATGTCTTCACTGACCTGAGAATTTGGCAGTACATTCTTAAAGTAAGTTACCTGAAGCATGTGCAAATAACAAATTAATATTTTTTTTTGCCTAATGTAGTGTAAAGGAGAGAATTGGACTTGCCCAGGAAAAGGTTTAACCCCTAATTTCAGCATCTTCATCTAAAAGAAAGGGAAGAATTCAGCTTCTCTTGTGACTTGGCTAGATACAGGAATTAAAAACCTGAGCAACTGCGGAGCAGAGCTGTTCAAGGAGTGATAGTTTGAGATTATTTATACACATAACTTCTTAATTCTGAATTCAAGATAACCTGCAAGCACAGTCTACTATTTTTTAAATATATTTAGCTAAAGGTTTTGCTTTACATTTTTGGCAGCCAAGGTTGAGCCAGCCATAAGGTGAGGTATTTGGGTTTCACTTTGTTGTTCTTGTTCAGGAGAGGTGAGGTATTGTCCAGTAGCGTAGGGCTCCTAAAGAAGACCCAATTTTACACTTTTGGGTCTATGCACACCAGAAAGGGATGCACATGCTGTTCTCATTGATGCTTGGCTTCTGCATTTTCCAGGTTTATGCAACTAGAAATCTTTGTAGCCTGCAGGAGGGACAGAGAGTTGTAAAGATCATGTCAGCTGTTAAATGTATTCAGTGCTTGTCACAGTGTCAGATAATAAGAGGACTGTTACCTTTTCTTCCTTTTTTTTTTTAGTTGTCCAAAGGCAGCTTTTTGAAATCTTGATGGTAACTTAAAGCCATGCGCTCTCTTTTCTAGAACTTCAGCGTGAAGATATCTACAGTATAGAAATAGTAGGTGGGGCTACTAGAATTCCAGCAGTGAAGGAACAGATCTCTAACTTTTTCTGTAAAGAGATAAGCACCACGCTAAATGCTGATGAAGCTGTTGCAAGAGGCTGTGCCTTGCAGGTATAGTTACTGAAATAAAACCTCGCTATTGCTACTTTAACATCAGGTACTAATTAAATACAACTAACCACAAGCAAAAGGTACTACAGCTGAAATAAGTTACAGGGTCTTTCTACTTCTTTCAACCATTGGTGAGAGTGACCTTGTCAGAAATGATTCTGTTACATTCATTAATTTGCTGCCGTGTCATGTTAAAAGGATGGTCTTGTTAGAGGCCTGTTAAGTTTGATGTGGTTCCACTTTGACGTAGTCATTCAAAAGCTTTGCTGGGTATCTTTACCGAGAATCACTGGGGAAGTAGCACCTATTACTTAAGTCTTTCAGTTCAATTAACTATGCGAAGTTTCTGTCAAAAAAAATTCTATGATAAGCAGGACCTCCATATGACCTATATGATTTGTAGCCTTTTAGCACTTCAGTATTAATTCTTGTACTTGCTATTTATTTGACTTGCAGGGATATAATAAAATTTTGGTCTTTTTTGTCTTTTTTTTCTAGTGTGCAATTCTTTCCCCAGCTTTCAAAGTGCGTGAGTTTTCCATCACAGATGTTGTTCCTTACTCTATAACGTTGAGATGGAAATCATCTTATGAAGAAGGAACAGGGTAAGTTGGTACAGTGCCTACTGAAAAGTGTGTTTGTATATCAAGAAAAATGTTGAGCTGTGGGAAGAAAACAGGCCTCTGGCTTTGAAGCTGTCATCCACTTGAACTGTTTTAGATTTTTTTTTTTTTGCACTATATCTTTTTGATTTCCAGTTACTGCTTAGTAATTGGAAATACATTTAATTAAGAAACATTGCGGTAAAGTTGCTTAGTTTTTAATAAAGTGTGATCCTGAATGCAGAGTCCAGCTTTGAGACCAATCTCCAAGTCTTTCCATAAAATAACTTAAATTACTCAGCTGTTTGCATGGCTGCTGATCATTAACGTACCTGGATTTTCATTATCCATTAAATTATGCTCAGAGGTTTAATCTTACTTAATGTTTTACTGCTTTAGGGAGTGTGAAGTCTTCAGTAAGAACCATGCTGCTCCGTTCTCAAAAGTAATTACTTTTCACAAGAAAGAGCCTTTTGATCTGGAAGCTTATTATACCCATCCACATGAAGTGCCTTATCCTGATTCCAGAATAGGTAAGGAAATGTGAATAGAAACCCCATACCCAGCTCTTGTTGATACTGGGAAGAGAGGTTCTCCTTTCTTCTAAGATAGGTCACTTCTACATTTCCTAGTTTATAGTAAAGCTTTGGTTCTTTAGAAAGGTTCAGCACAGTCTTCTAGGTTTAAATGTAGTGATCAAACAGTATTGACATCTTTGTTGGACAGTTCCTAAAAAAAAAAATCTGCTTTGTTCATTTTATCTTGACAGTTTCTGAATGCTTTAAAACAAGTAGATAGGAGTTATTAGTGCTCTATTGTCTGGTTCTTTCAGTTTATATAAAATTGATACGGATCTTATGTGCCAGCTAGCCTGGATTTTTCAAAGAAATTGGATCAAAGGAGCTGTTACCTGTCTGGGCAGGTAACTCGTCTGCTGCTATCCATCACATCTCTTTCTGTTAATCTGAGAACGTAAAAGATAGGCATTTCCTCAATTTAAGCATCTGTAGTAGAGTCTAAAGACTTAGATGGTATGAATAAGTTTCTTGGTAGCTAATGCTGTCCTTACTTGCAGTATTAATATGCTCCTCAGGGTCTTTAATTCATTTATTTCCTGATTTATTAATCAGATATAAACTTGGTGCTGTCTGTTTAGCTGTCTATGCAAGAAATCTGTGGTCTTCAGGAAGAAGCCTTCTCCTTTATGTGTGCAGTCTGCATCATCTACACTCAGATTTCTAGCAAATTGCGATATGTATCAACCTCACTACTTCCGCAAGCCTTGATAAGCACTGTTCATTCTCCAGAAGTTTATCAAATTCATCATTCAAAATCTCCGTTAACATTTTATTTTGCAGTGTGAAGGTTGAGTTCACGTGGACAAAAGAAACCATTTGAGACGATCAGAGTAATTTCTCTAGTGTGGTGGTTACAGAAGGCAACAGAGAAGTAGAATACTTAGTAAAGTGGTATCTTACTTTTTTATGAAATACAGATAAAGCAAAAACATCTTAGTAATTATCAGGGAACTGATAATAATTGGGGAACCAGGATTTAGTTTATCTACCTGCAGCTTACATTGTAGAATTGACGACTGAGTAGAAAGTTTTCAAGTAGTTCAAGTTCCGTGAAGGTGCTGTTTAAATTAACACCCTTCCACTACTTTTTTTGACACAACAGTTCAAGCCATCTTTGTTGTTTTCAAGGGCGTTTCACTATTCAAAATGTTGGTCCCCAACACGATGGCGACAATTCCAAAGTGAAGGTGAAAGTGCGCGTCAACATCCACGGCCTTTTCAGCGTGGCTAGTGCTTCCATAATAGAGAAGCAGAGCATAGAGGGGGATCACAACGACACTCCCATGGACACCGAGTCATCCACTAAGAACCAAGGCAGAGATGAAGAGCTGGTACGTAAACTTGGAAATACCTACGCTGTGATTCTGATAAGAGAGCCAGTAATTGCAGATTAAATCAGTGTTTGGCTTTTGACAGTTACTGTTTCTCCCCCCTTAAATTACTACTTCTGCTGTGCAACACATTTCTTCATGTTTATTACTGAAGTGCTGGTGAAGTGTGGCACTAAGAAAGAAGAGTGTAAAACCAGACTCTGAACAACAAAATGATGTTTTGTGTTGTTGTTCTTTACCATCTCTGTGCTAGCATTAGCATTATCTGGTGTTGCTAGCAAATGGCAGCCTATGTAATGAGATCTGCTGACAAATTGATCTTAGGGTTTGTTGTTCCTCACACCGTATTTTTTCAATGAGTAAAAAAAAACGTCGTATATCTTTACATATGGTGGCCTTGGCAGCCTTTCATTTAAGATTTGTTGTTAGCAGCTTTTCCCACTTTAGTTCAAGATACTACAGGAATTAGAGCAAGTGGTTACACAACTGGCATTACATAATCTATATAAGCAACTCCCTAAATACTACACTGCTTTCCAGGAACGCGAGCATATTTGAAATACTAAACGTGATGCAGTTCCTTGTGGGCAGATGCTCCGTATCTGATGTTTGTAATCAAGCGGAAAAGGGTTGGAGGTTATAGAGCTGGCATGTAGTGTGAGGCGGGCTGCACAGGGAGTTCCCTGGGCGTTGAGCACACGAGTAACTGCTTCCATCCTCAGGCTTTGCAGCTGTAGTACAACTGTCAGCTGTTTGTCTAACGTATCTTCTGTTTCACAATGGTGCTTGTCAGCAATTACCTTTCAGTATTGAGGATCATCCCCTTGACTCTGAGGAGGAGGTTTGTGGTGTATGTTATTTCCCCTCTAGAGCTATTTCCTGTAGGTAAAACAGTTCCTAATGTTGTTGGCTTTTCTGTGTGAACAGTAAGAACAGCCAATTTAGCATTTAGATTTTTGTTTTCTTACTCTGAAGTGACAAAACTTAAGTTTGGTAAAAGTAACCTTGTTTTCCACTCTAAACTGCAACATGTGCCTCTGTGCTAGGGTTTGAAATCCTTTAAGTGACTGGTCTTGTGTTTTGGAGAACTAACAGTAAATGATTTTTTATTAATATGTAGTTTATGAATCCAGAAATCTGAATTCCTTTTTGTAGAAGCAGTCTTGGATCTTTCAGACTTCATCTACAGCTCCTTAGTTATCAATGCACTGGATGTCCAAATATTAGAGTCATCCCGAAAACTTCTTTAAAAGTGTTTTTCAGTGATGGCAGGGAGTTGTATTACTTAAACCAAGTGATCAGCACTAGTAATCAGGGATGTCTTTTCCATATTGTTTAATTTGGAATAAGGCATAAGGGATAAATTTAGGATAAATTTACAGATAAATTGAATTGAAGCTTGCTTTATTTCGGGTGGCACGGAGGGAAGACAGTTGGTCATGTACTCCAAGAGGCCACTACTACAGAAACTAATTTTTATTAGTCTCACTGTCCTTGAGACAGATGCAGGTAATAGTTACGATGATTAAATTACTTCTGCTTTGAACTACAAACTTTCGAAGTTTAGGTCAAAAATGATACAAGGTCAGAGTTCTGGCTGTTCCACAGAGAACCCATTGTTATTGCCTGTGTTGGTGGTGTGTTTCTAGAATGTTCTTTGCTTGCATTTTATATGTATTTATTTCTAATTTAAAGTGAAGGGAGAATTCGCAGGGTTCAGTGTAATTATGTTATGGGGACAGGTGGCAACATCAACAGACTGAGGAGAATTTTTGTTTCATTTGACAGATAGAAGTACAAGTAATACATCAAAACGCCTGTTCAAACAGGGTGAATCAGAAATTGTTAGGGTTGATTCTAAAGTTCATATGTTACCTGTCATCTACTGTAACTGACATCAGTCTTAAATCTTACAGCCAACCTTTGCATTCAGTTATGTAACTCTCTCTCTAGGATAAAATGCAGGTTGATCAAGAAGAAGGTGTGCAAAAAGGTCAAGCTGAACAACAGAACCAAGCAGATGAGGAAACTGAAAATGCTGGAACTGAAACAAAGGTTTGTATTCAGCACTGATATTTTTTGCCCAGTATTCTCACACTCATTGATTGTACTAGTTGCAGAATGTAGGACTGTGTTTGAAGAAATACATATTTATATAACCATTTCAGGATATGAATATATGTAAGTTAGGAATCCTACCATAGCACTTTAATTTTCAACTGGTATGAATAAGAATTTGAAGTAGCTTTCTGTTGTTCAACCTAGGTTTATAGTGAACATGTAATTTAGGGAAACTTATGAAATACCGTGAAGAATCATAGCTGCTCTTTATGTTTAAAGAAACTAAATTTCACCAGTTTGGTTCAAAACTAAGGCAGTGGTGATTTTGAACACAGAGGAACAATTAGGTGCTAAATCTATATAGAATTAATTTTTAGCTGTCTTTAAGAGTTTTGTTTGTCTCTCTTTTTGAGCATAAATGTAGTAATATTTCCATTCCTGGAAGTTTCTTAGTAGTGTCACTCTTTATAGGCTTCTTCTGGAGAAAAGCAAGATCATCCATCCCAGCCAAAGGCTAAAACAAAAGTTAAGAGTATTGACCTCCCTATACAGGCCAGCCTGTATCGGCAACTGGGACAAGATCTGATCAATTCCTACATAGAAAATGAGGTAAGCAGCATAAACAGATGACCACTCAATGTCACTGTAAATAATTATCTAAAAAAAATTTGCAACCATCAACTTAGCCAATTTAGAATTCTTAGGGGGTTTGCCCTTAATCGTAAGGGGGTTTGTTTGTTTGTTTTTTTTTTGGGGGGGGGGTGGTGAAATTACTCAATTTCGTTAGACTTAACTTATCCTGTTCTGGTTGTGCTTGTAATGCAGATGACTTACACAGAGGTGAACATTTTTATCAGTAATTGTAAATTAGCAGTTTTCTGCCTGTGGTACAGTTTCAAGGGAGTAGTCACTGAGCTTGACACTTAAAATGCTTTTAGTTTTAAATAAGGTTTTCTCCACCCTAGGGGAAGATGATGATGCAAGACAAGCTTGAGAAAGAAAGAAACGATGCTAAGAATGCTGTTGAAGAATATGTGTATGAATTCAGAGACAAGCTGTGTGGAGTCTTTGAAAAATTTATCACTGAAGAGGTAAGACTTGCCTATATGTTTCAGCTGTAGGAAAAAAAAGTTCCTTTGTGTTCATAAATCTTAAGTGTGAGTTTTGTGAAGGCTCCAGTGGTCTCTTGGACTAGTTTTGGAGTAAGAGATGGCTTAACTTCACAGAAGTGAAGTTCAAATTACACTTGGGCCTAACATTTGACTTGCAAGCAAGCAGAGTTCTTTACTGTCTGAGAAGTTCCTCAGTGGCAAAGAAAGATTGGGGATGCAGGCAGAAAATAGAAATCCTATGGTCAGCACAGGAAAGCAGGCCACAAACTTCTGAATGGTGTGATTGGGCAGGAATTAAAACAAAATGAACAGATAATGTGGAAGAATGTTAAGAGGTGCATGAGCTGTCTTAAGTAGCTTGGGGACTGATTCTGTAACTCCAGTAAACTTTACCTGCAAATCAGATGAGTAGGGCTGTCCTCCTTGTCTTAAGACTCTGTAAAATCTTGGCTTTCAAGTCTGTTCATTGCTGTTTTCCTTCACTATCACTCTGAATATTTCAAGCTGATGACACAGTCTCTTTTGAGTAGGGGTGAAGTTGCAAAGGTGTGTGTGGGTGGGAGAAAAGTCTCATTTGACGTGTTCCCTTCTGAGCTGGAGTGTCCCTGACATGCCTTGTAGGATTCAAGCAAGCTGACCTTGATGTTGGAGGACACTGAAAACTGGCTTTATGAAGATGGAGAGGACCAGCCAAAACAAGTATACATGGATAAGCTTCAGGAATTAAAAGTAAGGTTTTAAGTGGCTTTCTAGAAAAACAATGCATGTGTGTTTGTGGGTGGGTGTTCAGGTTGTATATACAAGTTATTTATGAAGCGAACATAATACTAGAAATAGAACTAGAAATAGGGTTTGATTTAATGTGAGTTGTGCTTCTAATGTGAAAATGGTTGAAATGAAGCAGGCTGTCACTAGTGACAACAGATTTAATTGCTGTGGGAATTTTCTGTCAGTCTTGTTACAATCTGAAGGAGGTTTTTGAATAGTTTGACTGCCTTCCTGGGTAATCAGAATTACACTCTAGAATATATTCTCTGTTTTTTCTGTTCTGAGTGATCTTCTGTGGCTGTATCATAAAACCCAGTTTTTTAGTCTAATGCCTAATGATAAAGGCTGAGAGTGCTTTAACAGTAGCTTCCACTGTTATCATTTGATTAGTAATGACCCAAAAAAAGCCCTTAAATACTTCAGATGTTATTAATCTCATGGGGAAAATGTGAATTCTGATGAATGACTAGCCCTAGGGCTCCAGCTGTCTTCTCTCAGCTCAGATTTCCTTTGTGGGAGGCATAACTGATGGAAACAGCAGTGCACATCCAGGTGACTGCCTGGATACCAGTATTCAAGAGAAGGAAAAAACAGACAGTAGTGGATAAAACTAGAAGTTTTTAGATTAAGTGCTTGAAAATTAAAGCATCCATTAAATCTTGATCTGTTTCTGTTCCAAAAGCTGTTTTTGCAGAAAACTGCAAAATACCAAGCCTAGTAAGGATAGGTACTACTCCTTTGTTTAAACCTCTGGGATTTTTTTGTTGTTGATGCACTAAAGAAACATGCAAAGATTTAGCTCTTGAATGGGTTAGAAAAGGACCTAAAGGCAGCCTTTCTTCCTATGCCTCATTTTATTCTTAGGCCAGACTAAAGGAAATAATGTATTTTGTAAAGATCTTTGTGCTTACTATTGCAGAAATTTGGACAGCCTATTCAGGAAAGATGCATGGAACATGAAGAGAGACCAAAAGTTCTAAATGAACTGGGAAAGAAGATTCAGCTCCTTATGAAAGCAGTAGAAGCATACAAAAATAAGGTAGAAATAAATGACTTAGTGATTCAAGGATTATAAGTGTTTTGAGTTTGGCTGTAGAGCTTTTGGTGTTTAAAAGGAAACCCTATAGGATTAACTCTTAAACTGCTTTAGAAGGGCTGTTGTACTTTGACTCCTGAGAACTTGAAAACTGTTCTGCATTGCCAGCAGAAACAGCTTCTTCATGAGAACATAAATCAAAGATCATTTTTCGTGGTCTCTTGTACCACTTGAAATGGATCTCTCAAGTTATGGCTGTTACCAGTGTTTCTGTAGCTTCTAAGACTAATTTCATTGGGTGAGCGGCATATATTAATTGGTGATACAAATATCTCTCTCCTTAGGATGAAAAATATGATCACCTAGATCCTGCTGAGATGGAAAAAGTTGAAAAATACATCAATGAGGCTATGAATTGGTTGAACAGCAAAATGAATGCCCAGAACAAACTAAGTCTAACTCAGGATCCAGTTGTGAAAGTGGCAGAAATACTGGCAAAATCTAAGGTAAAAAATATAATCATAAAAATCATTGTTGCATTCTAATAAGTTTTTTGTGAACCAGATTTTGGCCGAGATTTGAGGTAGAATATTACATCTACAAACATTAAAAGATTCACACAGAGGGAGCAGCACTTTCAGCAGTCTTCAGTGCTGGCTCTTGAATTACAGCATACCTCTGCATAAGCCTTTTTAAATACCCTGAGTTACAGCACCAGACTTTGTGCAGAGTGGATTGCCATATAGGTTTGTAAGAGATCAGGAGTTCTCTAGGTAGCGAAAGGCTTTATTTTAAGTTTCTAGATTTAATAGAATTGAGAAGTCTCATCCTTGAAAAATAAATTCCAAGCTGTTACGGACCAGAAACGAATGAGAGACATTCTAGTATAGTACAGTTGCTGTGCCACCAAATGACCTTACTGTCTCAATTCTGTCACAATTAGGAATTGGATAGCTTCTGTAATCCCATTATATACAAGCCCAAACCGAAGATAGAACCTCCCAGTGATGGGCAGTCAAAAGCTAACGGGGAACACAACGGACCAGTGAACGGACAGAGCGGTACTGAAACCAAACCTGAACCAGCGAAGGACAACCCTCAGCAGACCAAACCCCCCGGAGAAATGGAAGTGGACTAAATCTTGCCTTTCTTTTACTCAATTAAAATAGTGCAAGTAACCACAGGGTCCATTCTTTTTGTCTGGTACACACCTCAGATGTTCAGTTATTCTTAGCCAAACTTCTGTCATTTGTTGATGAGTAGTTTTGAAAGTGTTTTATATTAAGTACACCTCTGATGTTCATTTCCACTGATGCTGCTTATGTGGAGCTTTAGCCAAATGTAGATTGTATAAGTCAGTTTAAGCTTTCCCAATATATTTTATATCAAACATACAGAATTGATATATAAATGGCAACAATCTACCTTATTTAAAGCTTTTATTGTGAATAAACCTCAGCTCCTTTATTCAGGAAAGGATACTGTATTGCACTACTGATGCTCAAGTGTAGATCTAATCGCATCTTTATTTTGGAAAAATATTGGAATTGAAGTGGCAAAAGCTGTCACTTGAAGCACTGACCTTTTCTAGTTATTGTATTGTTATAATTTAAATATTAAAATAGAGGTTAGTTGGCATACCAGTCCATCTTGTTGATGTACCATGGGAATTGTACGGTCTTTTTCATATAAACGGAATAATACAAGCTTAAATGTGTTTCTTTTTTTAGGTTCCCACACCACTACCAATCTGAGTTACAAACAGCTCCAGTATAGTGGCTCTGCCATGTGCTGAAATTCATGGTCTTGGTGCACACCACTGTACATAACGTACTGTGCTTGTGATAGGATGATGCTGATGACAGTAGGATGAAAGGGTAGAACGCACAAGGCCTGCTGCATAGCTGTCCTTGAAAATGTCTGACTGCACATGTTACTATTTTCACTTCTTTTGTTTTGAATTCAATTTACATCGTATCTCATACTGGGAAGGAGAACCAGCAGCAGTGGGTGCTGCACGAGCTGGATATCAGCACCCTGATTTTGAGGTTGCTTAAATGATGTTTAGTGCAGCCTTGAAAGAAATGCTGAGAACTTATTTAAGCCTTGGTGTTCAGCATGTAAAGCTTTTGGTCAAGGATCAAAACTAAGACTGGATATTACTACTGCAAAGATGGAATCTACTTGATGAACTTGTGTAGCTTACCGTTTTTGGTCATTGAGTTATCTAATGAAAGTGTCTACAACGGATTGCACAGTGGGATTGCTGTTTTCCTTGATACATCTTAAACACTGTCAAGGTCCAGTGGATGTTCTGTATTCCAAATGCTTCCGTCTGTCACCAAGGTACTGTAGCACTTGCTAGAGCCAGTCACTGTTGACTTCAAACAGCTCCTCTATTACCAGAATGGGAATGGGCTACTCTAACTATGAGAAGTGGTTTCTTACTCCAGTCAGCATAAGAAACTGGGATTAGTTGCAGTGTAACGCGTCAGTGACTTGAACTGTGGTGCACAAACAAATTTAGGTGTGTTCAGGTGTTAACCGGGCATTTCTGCAGCTCTTCTCCTGTGTGAGGTGTTGCTATTCTAAACAGGTGAAGAATCAAGATCTTGTTTCTGGCTTTGGCTGCGATTTTATCTCCAGCCATGCCCTTCATCTTCCATCACTGTTCATGCTACAAAAAGTAATCCATGACCAGTGGTAGAGGTAAATTAAACTCTTACATATCTTCACAGAAAAAGGAAGCACCATTTACAACTGTACATAAACCTGCCAGACTAGTTCAGGTTCTTGAATTGCATCTTCATTACTGACATCAAGTGACTGAGCTTTGCTCTACTGACTGTTGCTCCTCTATGTACTCAAGTGTGGATAGGCTGACACCATAAGTTTACATATTTAAAGTCCTTGAACAAAAACAGCGTGATCTTGAAGAGCTGCTCTGCAGCCACTCTGAAACCTCAGTCTTGAATTCTGCCGCTGCAGTCACACCTCTGGCTCTGAGGGGGTGACTCTACTTCACCATCAGTTTGAGCTAGCTTTGATCCTGTAGGCTTTTACCACCATTAATATCTTAATGGCTTTTACCACAGCAGTGTAATGAGTAGCATTATTAAATATTGGCTTAAAATCCATCTACACGTTAATTTGTCTAGTAGACTTCCTGATGCCTGGCAGAAGAGCTCACACAGCAGAAATCTCCAGTAAGTTCTTCAATAGCTGAAAGGTCATGTGCATCTTCTGCTCATGGTTATCAGAAGCTTAATACTACATTACGAATGTTTGAAGCAATTCTTAAGATAAAGTCTAGAATAATCCTACAGCATGCTTAAAAGCAGATACAGTTCAGACAAACAATTGTAACCTTTTCTTACTAGGATAGGGTTTTTTTGCTGTGCATCTGGTCTGTCTCGAGATCCTTGGTGAAGAGGAATGCTGCCCACAGACTGCCAGCAGCAACTGGTTGCTGAGGTACACATTAGGAATCCCTTTGAGAAGGGCAGAGTTGTTCTTTCCACGGTGAGCTTCACATTAAAACATGATTTGTTAATATGTAATCTGTTTTCGGTTACAAAGAGGAGATTTTACCAAGGCAGATCGAAGACTCTTAAGTACTTACATAAGCTATGCACAACTTGAATGGGAGGCTTTGTGTGTCGGACTCAAAAAGTGAGTTACCCTGTGGCTACACTGACAGCACTTACCTTTGCAACATAAAAATTTGTTAGGAAACCAAAAGTAGTGTGCTCCTCTGCATCTTGGATTTAAAAGTATTTGTCAATAATGTATTATTTGAAACTTTCTGTTGAGGGCAAGATACATTTTGAATGTTTGAAAATGTTCCCTTAAACATTTGAAAATGTTTTCGTTTTTAAACATCCCACAAAAACAAGGAAGTAACACTATCTTTGTAAAGGCAGTAGATTTTTGTTTAAAAAAAGAAAAAAGTTGCAGTAATCACATTCTAAAACTTCATGTAAAAATTTAGTTACAAACCAGCAGTAATTCTTTGTTTCATTTTACTAGTAAGATCTTTTTTCTTTCAAGAGGACTTTTCTCTCGTGTGTGGAGCTTTAATGGACTTATTCAAAGAAGGACTTTGAAATAATTTGTGTTAATTTTCTTTTCCAAACTAAGTTGCTAGTAGCTGTTTTACAACTGATTCATGGGTTCCTTCCCATGTTTCTTATTATGGTACTTCAGAATTTCAGGAGCTGCTCCGAGATTCATTCAGATGTAGGAAACTGATTTTTAACTATACATCTTAGTTAAGCTTTTAATAATTTCTTTCCTTAAGCTGCTGCTCCATGACAGAATACCCCACTAGGAGCTGCCTGCTTTGTTTGGTCTGAATTTGAATGTGTGTCTGAATTCGAATGAAAACTCCTCTCCCTTGCTTGCTCCTGCAGTGCCCTTGATCCAGTGTTTAAATACTGCTTGTGGGGTGTGTTTGCAAAACTTGGAGAGGGCAGTTGGGAGAATCCTCCAAGACCTTTGGGTGAAAAACCCACTTGCCTCACAAGATCATGTGGTAGCCCAAGATGCCCCTGTGTCTGGTATGGCAGCATGGGAGAGGAACTGCAGTGACTGGGGTGCAGCTGCAGCATCCTGTATACCCTGTGCTGTGTGGGATGAAGGTTTTGCTTCTTCCATGCAGAATTAGAAGCTGTTAATGTAAAGCATCCACTCTGTTGGTAAGATCCCTTTGTATACTCAACATCTGAAATGCTGTAATGTGTAGTGTGCTCAACTCCCCCCTCTGCTACAGATCGTTACACTTGTTCTTCAGTATTCCATATTTGAAGCGGGGGTTTTCCTGTAAGGATTATGTTGAAGCGTAATTTCAGGAAACAAGCAAGGAGACTTTGCTTTCTCTGTTATTTTTTGACAACAGTGTGAAAACTTTACAGCCTTAACAAACCTTGGCACCTACACTTCTCAGAGCTCTGTCAGTTAAAGCATCAAAACATGAAGCCATGTTGCAAACAAGCTGCATTTGCTGGTTCAAAACATCTACCCAACTGCTGTAGGAAAAGAAGCTAAATTCAATTCCCATAGATTAGTGCCGTAGATTAGAACCTCTTGCCTCAAAAGAGGACTTTGACTGCTGTGTAACCACACTGTAATACTTCAATACACTGACTTCTGGGAGCCCTTCTAAAGCGAAGCCCAGATGCCCAACCTTCAGTTGTGGATCAGTATGAAGGTCTGCATGCTCTAAGGATGCTTACATTAGCTGCCACTAGCTGAGTTTATAAGTGGATGGAGAAATATTCTGGGTTTTGTTACTTGTAAGTTTTCTTAGTCTTTCAGGCACCAGGAGACATAACCTCTCTTTTAAAAGAAGAGGTAGTAAAAAACATGCTGCTTAACAAAAGGTGTTAATGCCTCATAAATTCTAATTTCAACTCCCAAGATAGCATTTGGAGTATAAACACAAGCTCTCAGTAGCTACAGAAAGTGTGTGGTGGCTGACTCTTAGCTGAATTCTTAATTCTCCAGAGTTGAAAGTTGAAGACTTCAGTCACTTCCTAACATGTAAATAACGGTGAAAACAATAAAATGTGACTATTAGCACTACAGAATACAAAACCAGGAACGTGCTCAATGTGATTTCCCTAATACAGATGCTAAACCATGTTTTCCTTTTTTCCTGGTCAGAAGGAAATAATTTCAAGCAGTGAAAACCAGGAATCATTGCAATGAAATCGATGAAGAATCATTTCAAACAAAAATGTAGTTAAGAGCTATACCCACCAACCACCAAGTGTTGAAATGCTTTTAATTAAACTGATTAAAAAAGGTGGTAGTCCTTGAATGTTTCATAGTTGGAAAAGTTTGTTTACAAAGTCTATAAACATATCTCCACAGGTTGAAGGGGGAAGAGATGGGAGTGTCAGAATTTAAAGCGGTGTTAAGGTATGCAAAATGTTTATTATGTATGTAAATGGGATTCTTAGTAGTGACAGATCATGTGCAAATTGACAATACTTCAATTTATTTTTGAATGGCAATATAGATTGTCAAGGTTGTGTATAATTATAATAAATATATAAACCGCTACTTGAACCATAAATGACCACCCAAGACTTCATTTTTACATCAGTGTTCTTAAAAGCAGCTTTGTCCGAAAAAATTACGTCGGTACAAAAGACCACAGGTAAGAAATAGGCACTTTTGGTGGCTCACCTGTCCTGCTGAGTCAGGTGTGGCTTCTCTTTCTTCTCTGTCCCAGTCAGCTGTAGCCTCTCCTCTGGCGAATTCCACCAAATTCCACTGACAAGTTACCGATGAACACGGACTCCTCACTCCATCTGCTGCAGCCCAAACATTGCACTGCTTTGCCTCTGGGGAATTCCAGTTATTTTCACAGCTGCCATCGCATTTGTGTGTTCGGATGAGCACAAGTTGCCAAGTTTCAAGTAATTCATCTCTCACAAATTTATGGCAACGTACAAGTCCGAGGTAGTTTTCCTGTGCCTTGAACTGCTGATGGCTTTGGGCACTGTTGGTTCTCTGAGTAGGTGCAGCAGGAAAGCAGCAGCCTATGATATTGTTCCTGCAATTCTTTTATGTGTTAGCAGTGTAACAGGAATCCATCCATCCTCCAACAAGATGTGGCCCGTAGAACTCTGCATAACCTGTATAAATGCACCAAAACACAACATGATTCAGCATGTTCATTTCCATCTGCCTCAATACACTTTAAACGCTCCTCAAAATCTGCATTTCTTCCAGGCTTTGCATATGTGGATCTCAGTAAATAGTCTGATATTTCACAGGCCAGGTTTGGGATTTAGAGGTGGAGGTCCTTCCTATTAAAAACTTACATGGTTAACTGCATGTATACATGCACATGTACATGTGCATATGTGAAAAGGTACACTAAAAATCAGCTCCGTGTGCTTAACAGTCAGTACAGGGGAAAATAATGCCCTTAACCTACTGTGCTCTCTGAGCATCTCAGACTATTAAGCCCATTCACCCTCCTGTATTTACCATCTGTGAAAAGATGTTCACCATCAAGAGGTTCCTCTGCAAAAGAGGAAGATGAGCTATTCTGGCAAAATGAGGGGAACATGAAAAGAATCACACAATATGCTGAGTTGGAAAGGACCCACAAGAATCGCTGAAGTCCAACTCCTGGCCCTGCACAAGACGGCCCCAACAGTCACACCCTGTGCCTGAGAGTGTTGTCCAAATGCTTCTCGGACTCTGTCAGGCTTGGTGCTGTGACCACTGCCCTGGGGAACATGTTCCAGCACTCAGCTACCCTCTGGGTGAATATACAATATCCAGCCTAAACCTTCCCTGGCACAGCTTGATGCCATTCCCTCGGGTCCTGCCAGCTGAAGCTCTCAGGGAATTAAAGACACAGACGTGATGTCGTGCTAATGGTATTGCCACCAAAATACTGAAATACATTGTGAGGACCTAGATTTCAGATTCTGCCTGAAAATCAGCTTCTCTGGCATTGTAATATCCCAACACTGCCTCACGGGGTGGACTTGGTGCAGTTTCAGGGAGAAAAGAGCTGCTTGCAGAATAAAAACCATTTATTCACAGGGATTGTGTTTATCACAGAGCTCGTGAAACAAGACTGTCCCAGTGATAATTACTATGGCTGCAAATAAATATTATCCTTTCCTTTTTCTGTCCTACGTTCTTCATCCTCCCTACAAATATCAGTGTGCTCTTCCTTTTATAAGATTAATTGGATTTTCAGTAGTGCTGAAGCACTTGCAATCCAAAGAAGAAAATGACACTTTCTATAGCAAATAAAACATTTAAAAACTACTAGTCAACATTATTTTACTTGCGAATTTCTTTGGAAAATACCTTTATCCTCACATGAAATGACAACAGAAATAAAAACGGACATTTTACAAGCACTGAACAAACAAAAGTGAGTGTGTATGACTACTTCATCTCCAAAGGAGAGTGAAGTGATGCATTCAACATCTACAACAGGGGCAAAACGTTACATTCCTGGGGCCAGAGCCATCCTCAACACCAGGAAGGCAAGACACCTGCATAAAAATCCTAGGCCAGAGCTTTGAGTTCCTCCTGGAGAGCGTTTCAGCAGCCAAAAAAAGGACACTCTCAGAAGATAAAATGACAAAACAAAACAGCAAACATTTGTCTTGACAATACTAAAGGGAGATGTGGCCCAAGAAGTTGCCTTTCTCAACGAAAAATAACCCCTCCCACTTTGTGTGTGGGGGTTGTGCTCTTTTCACATCCTTCAAGGGTTCCAGAAATCTGTTGCTATAAATATTCCCCATCTATTCCATCATCTGCCTGCACTGCCTTGTCTACAAGACCGAGGCAGAACAAATATTCTTATGAAGTTTTATATGGCCATTTTAGCATAGAAAGTGAAGATGGGAAATGAGATCTGGGAGGCAAAGGTCACTCTATTTATGATGGCTTTTCTAAACCTGTGCTTTGCAAAGTCACTGATAAAAATAATAACCACACAAGCTCTTGCAAGTTCTTATTAAGTGAGGATTAACAACTCTGAAAGTCAGTGGCGTTGCCTTTGCAGCTTTTGAGTGCTCATTTACCAGGAATAAGCAACCCAGCTTATCTATTGCTTGTGGGATCTATACTCATTTCACCCAATACATGACAAAAATACCCTTCAGCCTTTATTAGTGCCTGAAGCTCTCAGAAAGCTCAGGCAGATAAACACTCAAACAGCACGAGGGAGTAGAAAAACCAGTAGTTCCACTCATCTCCTACCCTACATCTACTGAATTTTTGTTTGAAGTCTGCACTCTGTTAGAAGATCTGGGCGTTCTAATACTCAGAAAACAAAATCTAGATCAAAACAAAGACGAATCACATCCCAAAAAGATCTCTTTACACAGCACTGAGTAAACTGTATGAGTAGGTACATTAACACAGTAGCAACAGCCAGTTTCACAGACACCTGATGGTATTAACTCCAAACTGTCCATTTTCCTTAACATACCCATGAAATATTTTCCCTTTTTGCACTTTCTATTTTTCCTCTCTCTTAGTAATTTATTTTATAAATTGCATCAAAGTTCTTCAGGTCAAATCAAAAACTCTCCCTGTTGCTTTTTCAAAAATAACATCAAGTTCACAAATCTGTGAATTGAACATCAATTCAATCAATTTCACAAAAAAACTCTCCCTGTGGCTTTTTCAAAAATAACATCAAGTTCACAAACACCAAATAAAGGTTGCTAGGCTGATGTCTCTAGGCCTTAAAATGACAGTGGAGGAAGTATTTGGTGTCAAACAGAAGCAAGCTGTCTACCATGGGAAACTTTTATTTTCTTCCATGTATAGGACATACACAATTATAATTTGACAGGTAGAAATATAAAATGTATCTAACTTCACTCAGTTACCAAGAATATGGAAATGTTAAAGATCATTATCCTACAACTTTAAACGACAGAAATAGAGTATTTGCATTTGTCTTTGCTTGCAAGGAAATAAACAGCCACAATTTGCTAAATTCCCCTGACAGTTCTTTTTCGAGACAAACTAACTGAGCTCAGACAACAGAAACTTATTTTTCAGTATCATCTTGGTGATATAACAAGCCATTAGAGAAGTATTTGTCTTGCTTTCCTTTAATATCACATCAGAAAAAAACACCGCAACAGCATGTTTGCCACAAAAAGGGCACTAAGAAATGTAATTTGTCTTAATATCTAAAACTGTTGATCAAAATCCTTTGTGAAGAGCTGGACAAATGAAGAAATTACATCTTTATGCTCAGGAGACATTTTGTTTCCATGGATAATATCAACAAACCAATTTTCAAAACCAGAAGAGCAGACATATGCCCTGATGGGGAAGGATGTACTGAAAAAAAGGGGAAAAAATACTGTCAGTATTTTAGCCAGACACACTACAATGTAATTATATTTTGTTGAAGAAGTCTTCAAATCTCACCCTGCATCCATTGTTAAGCTCTTCAAATTCACCTGAATGAACTTAGCAGATAACACTACCCAAGGGATTCAGCTTCTTTGCAAATCTAGCTGCTTGCTCAGTAACTAAGTGCTAATTACAGCTAAAAATTTACAAAAATAACTTCAAAGGGAATCAATCAAAATTTCTGACATGATAGCCTAAGGTAATACTGAATAGATTTGTATTTGAATTGGTTATTAGCTTTGGGTATCCAAATAGCAGTGTTGCTACACAGAAAAAATCTGTCCTTTAGTTTTCAGCTCGTATCCACTTTACGAGACAGAACATCACTCGTAAGGGGACAGGATGCAAGTGCTAACCCCTAAGTATCTGCACTGATTTGAAACTCCTTCTTCTCTCCTGTGGTGACATTTTCACTTTTGTGTGACGAATTATTTTCACTGCTGTAAGCGAGGTTTGTGAAGATTGTGGGATGAATTTAATGATAATTCTAGACCTCGCCAGGTGTTCTTAATAAACAGTTCAAATACTGAGACTGTCCTTTCTCATGGAATTTATTTTGACTTGCAAAAGTTTTCTCTACCAGAAATGATCACTTAGTGGTCACAAGTGCTGTACGATCAAAAAAATCTCAGAAAAGGCACCTGTGCAAGTTTTTCCACTTGCACAGTGGTCCATGTCCCGCTCAAGAACACAGCCCAATCTCGTGTCATGTTCCACACAGCAACAATGGCAGACACACAACCAAGGCATCAGCCAAATTACCAAACATACCAATGACATCATAGTTTCCACAACATTATAGGCATGATGTCAGCCTGGCTCTAGTGGTAGATCACTGACTAGCTCATCCTTGGCATCTGTAGAGACAGACTCAACTATAGCACACAAAGTTGTGTGCTATTTGTGTACAAATACTTAAACATCACTAAGGTGCACAAAAGATCTGAGGGGGAAAGTTTACAAAAGATGTGTGTGGAAAACAGCTTATGTTGGCATAAATGGTAAAGTATCACTGGGCTACCAAATGCTGGCATTGTAGTCCAAGACAATTAGTAAAAACACAGTCTTTGACAGCATTTATACAACAAAATAATATTCCTGTAACACAGACTGAAGGCCATTACTGCAGGGCCGGAAACTTAAAAGGAGGGTTCAGAGTTGGAATGTCCATAAAAATGTGTTAGTCACTGCAACAAAGCCTTATGACATACCAAGGCTTTTACTCAAAACAGATTATATTTAATAACTAGCATTTCAAAAACAATCATTCTTTGCACAAACTATTTTTTCTTTCTCTTACATTACAAATTACTCGCCTCCACCCACACTCCTCAGCTAAGGATGAAACATGTTGTCAGTTGTACAGATGAGTAAACTGAATCACAGGACTGACAAGTTTGACTTGTTTCTTAGAGATACAGATTTAAATAAAAAATTCCTTCTCTGAAATAAATGGATTTTCACCACAGAAGTAGGATAGGTGAGGAAAGAATTTTTTCGTCATCTTTTCTTCTTGATCAGCAGTGCAGTGGCATGGCCAGTTACAGGATGAAGAAGTTTTCAGTTATTTTTTCTGTCTGAAACAGATGTTCCCTCTGGAGAACTCGCCATCACACAGAAAAATGAGAATCACAGCCCTTTCCTGTGCCAGACAAATCATCAAAAGTGATACAGGTCTCAAGGCACTTGTTCAACTCCCAGTCTCTCACAACTCAAATATTCTGACATCTGAATTCACGTATCTCCTTTAAGAGAGAAATGTCATTCTCCTGAGCAGCCACACGTGGAGTCTGAAATGGAGAAAACTTAAAAAACCAAACCAAAACAAACCAAACCAAAACAAAAAAACCCCAAAACAAAAACAAACCCTTTGGTCTACTGAAAGGAAAACAGAGACTGTACTGCACTGCAGCAATGCTAGTTTGTCAGCCTTAAAATAAAGTATTATGGCCATAAACATGCCATGGAAACTTCTCAAGGAAAACCAGTCTGATCTCTTCAGAGTAGGAGAGGATATCAGGGAGGAGAACTAAGAGCTCAATCATTAAAGCTGAGCAAGGGCTTTTGCTTAAGAAAGGAGTTTCAAAGCTAAGCCTGTGTACCTCCAAACTTCAGGCACACTGCGAACATACCAGTTCTAACTGCCTTGCTCAAGTCCTGGTGCCACCAAGGCAGCACCAAGCTCAGCACAGGCTCATTAATCCTCCAACACAGGCCCAACCTCAGGCTCTAGTTGAAAAAGCAGTGTCACAGATGTGAAAGCATTAGGTCGAAGTAGCCCTGAGATTGGAACATGCAGGAAAAAAGCCAACCTGACAGTGTGTAAATTGTACTGGTGCAAAAAACACATTATTCCTTTTTTTCCTCCTATTCACCATGAGCAAGGCTGTTCACTATTGAGCTGCAAATACTGCAGAAGAAATGTAACTCCCCACATTTTGAAAAATTTGAATCCCAATCCGGAAATCAAATTGAACCTTTGTACCAAGCCGTACAACTTCAACAGAACTATATCTGCTTATTTTTAGAGCTGAAAATAGTCCACTGCAGCTTCTGCCCTTGAAAAGTGCTGTCCTGTGATTGCTTTCAGAGGAGTTGCATGGTTTAAAAGAATATCTATTCTCAAGATGATGCGGGAGTTTTAACTTCAAAAGACTGTTGAGGTATGAATGCTCCATTTATTTATTAGCAAAAGCATTTCTTACTATGATCCTGTCTTCCTGTGTGGAGGCAATAAAGTGCAGTTCAAAATGCAATTGTTTTCTACTCAGTGGTCTTTTTGCATTCTGTGGAACAGAGGCAAGCTTCATCTGCTCCCAGTAGGTTCAGTGTACAACTAACTACTAATATCTGAGTTCTGAAAACGTATATAAGAACAAATGCTAATTACAAAAAGGATTAAAATATGACATAAGACAGTAGATACTCTCATGACTGTTGCATAATTCCATGTGGCTTAGAAACAGCAATAACAAAGGAATTGTGCCTAAGGGAGCAGTCCATGTTTGCAAATAAAACTAAGCTGTCAACACTGGCAGTTACACCCACTGCTGGCAATTAAATATTCAATAACGACGAGCAAGGAAACCTCGAGTGAACACCTAAATAAACTGTGTTAGGCGGTGAATCTGGATGGGAGTGGAAACGATGCTGGCATTGGGCAAGGATAAAAAAACCAGCCTAATGAATCCTCAGCCTTGAAACCACACTGAGTGTGCACTTCATCCAGCGTGTATCTGCAGAGCTGCATCTCCAGTGTACCCAGTCACGCGGCTGTCAAGAGAACAGGTAAGGAAACACAAGGTGGAAAGGTTTTCAGAGCTGAAGACAAACAGCTAAAATTCCACCTGAGTGAAAACTGGAGGCTAGCATTGCCGTTGGATATTGAGATGTTCAAGGTAGAGAAAGAAATAGTAGACTAAAGCCTTGACATGAATAAAATGCATTTGTAATAAATTGATGCTGCAGTCCTCTCAAGTCATTTTTCCAGTCTGAATTCGGCACAGATTAAATCTGAGGTGCAATGCCCCTTGCACGAGCATTTTTTTGTTTGGGTTGGTTTTTTTCCCCAGGTTATCTTCTGAGTCATACAAGAACTCTAACTTATGCAGATAGTTTGTAAATAACTTAGAATACAAAATAAATTTACAGACAGTGAAGGTGTGGATAATAACCATAAGTAATAGGTCATATGCTCCTACTCAAGCGCAGTCAAAGCCAAAACTTTTAATGAGATTTGCTCCAAGCTTCAGCTTAATCAAGATACAGCAGGATTTTTCTTACAAATTTTGGCATGGTGACTTTTGAGATGAAGTATGTAAGCGACAACAGCTTTTTATGCTCATCTCTAAGAGGTACTTATTGCAATTATTACATTACTGTGTTTAACATAAGAAGCATGGTGTGAAGACTTGCAAGACTGTAAACAGTGAAAATCCAAAATTCATGATCAAACTGCTAAAATGCCATACTGAAAAAAGCAGCCAGTAATGAATTGTTACTGACAGAAATTTTGCTTTTCACCACTCAGGTTTTTATTGAGCAGGTGATTCTAAATGACAAGAGCAAGGTTTCTCATCTCTGAATGCAAAGTTCAGCTCTCTTACTGAAAGGTGAACTTTGAAAGCATTTGTGTGGGTGGGCAGCAAAAGAAAGAAAATTTTCATTTGATAAAACTTTATTTTGTTTGTAGAAACACATAATTCTCTTTAGTGAAAAAAGGACAGAAGTAGCCAGGCCTCCATAATCAGGTGCTTTCCCTTGAATAAAATAAATCAATAAAAAACACACAACAAAACCCATCACAAACATATGGGAAAACAAAATACGCACTTCAGTAGTAATAGGCCTGAAAATACCCCGCTGAAGTTTTATGACTGTATAACTACAAACCTCAATTTTTGAAAAGAAATTGTTCTTGACAGTTGGACTTGACAACAGAAGTGCACTGACTTTATCACGTTGGCAGTGCGCACAGGCAGACTTGTAGGACAAGCCCTGATGCTTGGACCGCTGTACTTATTCCACTGCTTTGCTCCAGCAGCTGCAGCGACGCTGACATTCACACCCTGCACGAGCACGCTGCCGATGAGCTCGCTCCTGGCAGGTCACAGCAATCTCTTGAGCATATGCCTCTGAAGCTGAGGCATCATTTATTCTAATATTTAAAGGTAAAACATCACAGCAGAACCGAACGGGCATCCTCTCAACACCTTCCTGTGCCACACCTTAGTTGTCTTCAGAGAGTGAATGATGTACTATGTGGTTTGTTTCTTTTCCTCCCTTTCACCTGAGCTCAATGTGCTATTTCTAGCATTCTTGCATATTAAAGTAGTCATAAGCGAGAGAAGTTATAAAAAATTTAAAAAATCAAATCTGAAGTAATGAAGAACTCAAACTAAACGCTGTCTAAATGAGCTTTCTTCAGAAGCACAGCCAGTTCTTTAGGGACGAGGGAAGACATGACTGACTCATTCTCCAAACCATTTGTGCCTCCTTGGATAAGAGACTAATACTTAGTGGAATGCTGAAAACAGTCAGCAAATCTACACTAAATGCAAGGGATCAGCTTGAGCATCTCTGTGTTTCTTTAGAAAAACTGTTCCATGAACACAGTACATTCAGTAATAGGAACAGTTTCAACAGAGCGCCTCTCACTATCACAGAGTGTAGTGTTTCTGTGAAATGAAGAGAGCTTCCAAAGTCTCTAGTTGTTGTACTGATACGCTGTTCTTCATCTTGAAGCCTCAGATAACTACTGAAAGATTAATACTGTCATAATATTTTTAAAGGGCTAATGGAATCACCTGAGGTACGGATGGATTAATCCAACATCGGTGCAGACCAAAGCAGATATGAAAGCATTAAAGGGTATCACAGAAACGGCACCAAATACTGCAGGTGTACTCCTTAATTCAATCAGAAGTCCTATATGACAAACCAAATACAATATCACTAGACTTCTGACAAGTACTGTACCTAGTACCACCTGGCATTTTTGTTAAAGCAGAATGATGGTAGTATTTTAGCAGAAAGGAAACACAAAAGACTTGAAGCCAAATGTAGGTAAAGTCCCTCTAGGATAAACACATACATTTAAAGTGGGGATAATTAACTACTGAGACAACCTAGCTAAGGGCATGACAGGGTCACCGTCGCTTGGCATGTTTAACATGGAAATGAGATCCCTGGAGATGGAATTGCAGGGCTGTGGGTCAGTGCAGGCAAACACACTATCAGTGGTCTTCCTTCTTTTCTGTGTAGAAAAAAAATGTAGTTTAACTAATTCTGCTCATGGCAGCTGCAGCAGAGTAACTCCCAAGAGATTTCTGTATTTCTCTCTTGGTTTGAGCACATTTTAGTAATATACATCTGACAAAAGGCTGGTGTAAACTTTGGGTCCTAAATGACATATATAATTTAATAATTACTGCAGAAAGCCTAACTCAGTTAATTTTGTTGTTGAGACTGTACAACATGTTGATGAGGTGACAGACCAAATAAACAAGAACTACTATTGATAAAACAGGGTCAAATCAATTCGAGCATTTCAACCCGGGATTCAGATACTCCACTGGGATAGGGTAAGAAGTTCAGAGGAGAATCAGGAGAATGGGTATTCTAAATGATGAATCAGAGGACCCTCAGATTCATTAACAGAGGTGAAATGAAATCCAGTAATACATAGTCTTGCAATTGTGGATTAATCAATAATAAATATGATATTAGAAGATGCTTCTAAATTTGAAGAATGATAATGAAGGAAGGATTTGAATGCAATAGTAATGAAAAGTATAAACTGTCAGTATAACAGGACTGAAAAAGGAAAATGTGATCTTCTGAAGTACCAGAAGTATTTCTAGTAAAAGAACAGTTTCCAGCTTTTACCTAAATGGTTTGTTAAAATTGAGAGTTACAACCAGAAAACCAAGAGGGCTTGGGTTTTTTGTTTGTTTGTATGTTTGTTTTCTGAGAAAATTTAAATGAGAAACGCATGATAAAATAAAAACTTTGTTGTTGGTCTAGCCCAGCAAAACCTTTTACGTTCTTCATGTCAGTTCAAGGACAAGGTTGATTTGCACAACTTTTGTTACACATAGACGGATCTCAACAGCAAAGACAAATATCCATGCTCATAAATTAGCCAGTGCAGCCCAGAGACACCAGATTTGAATAACCATTTTTGCTACCTAATGCTGTGTCTAAGGCACAACACACCAGCACAGGCTAAACCATCCCCACTGCTGCAGACTACAGCACTTCTGACAGTTCTTGCTCACCTTCTACTCAGAAATCTGTGGTCGCTCCCTTACACTCAGGGGAAGGCTGGCAGAGCTCCATCAGCTTTAGAACCTCAAGGTGTCATATGACTGAGGCGGAATGGCAGGAAGGGAGGATGAACTTCCCCTCTTTCTCCCAGTTTCTGTGTTCCGAGTGATTTTGCTTTTCATCATCCTCCATACTCGGCCCCTTTTTACTTTTGTTGCTAATCGGGCTTCTCCACTGATGAAGGGCACTCTAAATCTTCACATTTTGTTCCTGCAATGAAGTTGAAAGAAGGTTCTCAGGCCCTGTTTTAAGGCAGTCCTATTACTCTCTTAAAATTACTTAAAGAAGACTTTAGGATAGCATTTCTTTCAACACTTGAACATTGAAAATAAGATTAGATATCTGTGCTCTCTCTGATAAAAAGAGTTAGCAAGGGATTTGTTACATCAGTAGTTTTGTCTCACAAGTTCTGCTTTGCAGCAGATGCTGACCCCTGCAGTCATAAATTCAACCCAACAACAGAATAGTGATTTGAGTTTCTTTTTAATCAGAGGAAAGAATTGTTTCACTGCATGTTGCTGGCTTGACAATTAGTGGAGGAGCAGCTCCTGAAAGTCCAAAGACTCTGGCTCCCCTTTTAATGGGGAGACATGAAAGAAAAAGAAGCGAAACTAGACACTGACATCTACCTTCCAATCTTATGCAAGAAATACGATCATCTTCTGAAGGCTTCCTATTTACAAACTCCCAACTACTATGTAAGCCCAAATATGCTACACACTACACAACAGAACTTCAGAGAATTCCATGCCTGTGCCCTAAAGCACATACACTTTTCCAGCTGTGGTAGCTAATATAAAAAGGAATTGCCTCTACCTACAAATTTTGTCCTCTGTATAGGCATGCAGCGTATTTTGTATGCTGTTAGTTACTGAGTTTGGCCCCAATGTCAGTATGTATCAGTCATACTTTTGGCACGTGAATTCACTCACAGAACTTTTCTTATCGCTGCTCAGGTTAAAAATCTAGCCTTGAAATTAAACTGAAAGTCTCGATTTTGCTAATCTTCCACCCTAGTTATCCAAACCAGTGATGACTGTTAATATTGCACAGCTTGACAAACCAGTTCTATTTAATCACTCACACAGCTTCCATTTTACCTTGAAGGATTCTCAGCAACTGACACACACACTTATCCACAATCCATTTTACACTGATTAAGGAGTGCCTGACTGCACGCACACTCCCAAGAGCCTCCTTCTCTGAAGGAGAAAGTGCAGCCACCTCTGTATTTTATCCCGACAATGAAAGCTGGCAGGCAGTGGTGGTGGAACTGTTTAAGTTTATAGCCACAAGCTGGCAAACACTGCAGAAGGTGAAGTGCTAAATCAGTGCACCTCCTCCTTGCATCCTGGATGTCTGCCTGCCCTAGCCAGAATAACTCTTTGGGAGCACTCCCCTGGTACAGAAGGAGCCACCAAGATGTTTATGTGGTGGGGTGATTCAGAGGGCAGACTAATAAAAAAAGAAACTAACAAAAATAAAAAATCTTTTCCCCAGCCCAAATCAATTCCTTAATCTGGTTCACTGTGTAGCCACACGATCATCCTGCCACACAACAGAGGAAGAAACAAAGAGTGGAGACAAGTAGCCGCGTCTGCTTCAGGCGGTGTAAACAGTGCTGCGCCTGAACGTCAAGCAAGAAATAAAAACACAACTGAACTACCAGCTGAAAAGTAAGAAATGGAAAAGCAAATATATCCTCATAAACTGGGGAAAATTTATTCTGTGCAAGGGACCCCCAGCAGTTCACTACAGGGATTGAGTCTAAATACCGTTTGAGGCCATACTTGCCCAAAGATGAATTTCATATTTAGTAGAGCAGCTAGGAATAGAAAAGCTCATAAGAATGTAAACAAACTGGTGAGGTAATGGGGTTTGAAGATGTTCCCTCGCATTTTGAATGCGCCTTAACTACAGAAAGAAAATTCATCAAGCAAAGGTCACTAGCTCACAAAAACAACGTGGTTACAACTATGTTGCTTCGTTTCACATTAGCCATGGAAGTGCTGTTGACCAGGTCTGAATTGCAACTGTACCAGTAAACAAAAGCTAAATGAAGGTGCGAAAGGACACGTGAGATTCTCTGTTCGTAGCTACAGGATTTTGTTTTAACATATATTTTAGATAAAACACAACAGGAAAATGCCACTCAATAGTTTTAAAGTCACATAAGGAAACAGCTGACTTATCAGGCAGCTCTACAATGTAATGAAAAGGAAATACAGGGTGCTTTTCCCCCCTCACAGCCTCTTTTATACCCAACTGACATATGCATGAACTTTATAGAAGTAGTGAATATGTAAGACGTTTGCTGAACATGTAAAATTGTAGGTAAATATTAGCTACTCTGAGAATGGGACACACACGTGATGAGAGGAGCAATCCTCCTGTGTGTCCAGCACTGATAATAAAATGATGCCTGCCCAGTAACGCTCACAAATTGAGTTTTAGGGGTTTCTTACTGCCGGTTTATGGTAACAATGGGAGGGACCCCATGGTGGAGCAGAGGAAGGACTCTTCTCCATGAGCAGTGGCAGAAACAACCTGTGGTGAACTGACTGGAACCCCATTCCCCGTTTCCCTGCACCACTCAGGGGAAGGAGGTGGTGGAGGGAAGATGTTTAAAGGTTGGTTTTATTTCTCATTATATTACTCTGATTTGATTGGCAATAAATTATTTTTTTTTCCCCTCAAGTCGGGTTTGTTTTGCCTGTGACAGTGACTGATCTCTCTCTGTCCTTTTCTCGACCCCACGAGTCCTTCTTCATATTTTCTCTTCGCTGCCCAACTGAGAAGCGGAGTGAGAGAGTGGCTTTGGTGGGGCCCCGGCATCCACCCAAGGGTCAACGCACCTCAACAGGACTGAGGTGTCACCTCGGGCTGAGCTGACACCAAGGGCTGAGGTGACAGCCGGGGCTCGGGTGACACAAAGGACTGGGGTCACACCCGCCGCCGGGCTGAGGGCACACCCCGCTCCCGCCGCCGCCGCGCGCCTCCCTCACAGCGCGCACGCGCCGCAACGGCCGCTCCGCGAGCCGGGGGGGCGGGGGGGGGGAACGGGCACGCGCCGCAGCACCTCCCGGCCCCTTCCGCCAGCGCCGCGCGCGCGGCCCTGCGCGACGCGATTGCATCAGACGCAGCCTCGTCCCGGGCCCGGGGCGGGGCCGGGGGGTAACGGCGCGACTTTTCAAAATGTCGGCGGCGGGGCCGCGGAGAGGCCTCCGCGGGGCCCGGGAGCCAGCGGGGCCGCGCCGGGGCGGGCGGCCCGGGGCGCCCTGATGGGCAGCCGCGGCCCAGGCCCTCGGTACAACCGGCAGCGCGGGACCCGGCGGAGGGAGAGCGGCCGGCGCCATGGCGACCTGCATAGGCGAGAGGATAGAGGTGCGGAGCGCGGCCCCTCCCGCCGTGCGCCGCGGGCCGCGGGGCGCGCAGGGGGCGGGCGAGGGCTCCGCCCGCCTCGGGCGGGTGTTTTTGCGGGAGCGCGGCTCCTCCCGCGCCTTCTCCCCGTCACCACGTGTTTCTGGGGGCAGCCGCTGCCATGGCAGCCGGGGGCGGGTGTGTGCCGCGGCCCGGGAGCGGCGGGAGGCGCGGCGGGAAGGCGGCCCCGGGAAGGCGGCCCCGGGCAGCACCGGCGGCAGTCGAGCCCCGAGCGCGGAGCCGGCAGGAGGATGCGGCGCGGGTGGCTGTGCGGCCCCGCCGGGCACCGCCGCCGTGCCCCGGAGAGCTCCGTTCAGGTACCCCCCACCCCAGGGGGCGCCGCAGGGTTTGTCCGGCCCCGGGGGGCAGGTGCGATGGGAGAGTCCGGGTGGGGAGAGGCGCTCCGCAGCCCGAGGGACTAAGCCCCGCTCTGACAGCGCTTGTTTGTTCGTACTGCAGGATTTCAAGGTGGGGAACCTCCTGGGGAAGGGGTCCTTCGCAGGGGTCTACAGAGCGGTGTCCCTGAAAACCGGTCTGGAAGTGGCCATCAAAATGGTAAGGCAGCCAGCCAAGGAAGCGTCTGTCTCCCGGGAGACTGAACGCAAGTTGCAGCGGGTTGGGGTTGTGCAGTTGGGCACTGATGTTTGGATTGTTTTTTTTGTATACAATGGGTATTTAGGTTGGGTTTCAATCCTGGAAGATGTAGTACAACCAGATACAATTAGTACCTAGTCAGTGTTGCAGTGCTTGAAAAATATTCTGTGGTCCATTTACAGATAGATAAAAAAGCCATGCACAAAGTTGGAATGGTACAGAGAGTTCAGAATGAGGTGAAAATACATTGTCAGCTAAAGCATCCATCTATACTCGAGGTAAGAATTGTGAGGTTTGTACAGAGAGCTGTATGTGTGACTTGTTGTATAGTCTACAAAATGGGTTTTGATTTATTTTTTCCTTCGGTTTATCTTCCAGCTTTATAACTATTTTGAAGATAGCAACTACGTATACTTGATACTTGAGATGTGCCACAATGGTGAAATGAGCAGATACATAAAGAACAGAAAGAAACCCTTTTCAGAAGATGAAGGTGGGATTTTTTTTGTTTTGTGGAGCTTTTGTGTTAACTCTGCATTTTTACTCACCCAATAAATATTTTAGAAGAGTATTTAAAACTATCACAGTTTTCTGTAGCTTAAAGTCTTGGGGTAAGCGATAATCCAGAGATTCATTATTCTTGTGCGTATATTCAGTTGTATTTCTGAATACTTTGTTTCCATTTGTGCTGTTTGGGTTATAAAGAAAATAGTGATTTTAGAAGCCAGAGGTATATAAAATGTACAGCTTGCCTTTTGTACATAGAATGATGTTGAAGTATAAGTCAAGACTGGGAAGCTCTGCAGAGGAAAACTGGAAACTGCACATCCACAGATTTGCTTTCTTTGCCTTGTACCTCTTCTGCATTATATGTTACCACTTACAAAGCTTTCAAGATTATAGTTTGCGTTTTTCAACTGGTTATGCTGCTCTTCTGAATAGTGTTTTGAGAAAGAAGTCTTGCAAAAAAAAATATTAATTTGCTTAAGATTTTACCAATTTCATTTTTTTACAGTTGAGAGAGGGAGGATTTCAGTTAGAACGTGGACCACTGAAATCCTAACCTGAACAGTACACTTAAAAAAAACCCCAAACCAAAACAACAAAACAGCAAAGCAAACTGCAGTGGATAATGTTTTAGGGCACAGCTGAGAAGAGCCAAACAAGCTGCTCTGGTTTTAGCCTGTCTGGATTCAGTGGTTATTGCCTCTATTGCTTCCAGCCTTCCCTCACTGCTCATCTCCTGCACGGTTCTTCCAGTTTACCTGCTTCTATACCAGTTTCTAATCTAATTCTGTGAAACTAATATAAATACAGATTTTTTTTTGGAACCCAGATCACAGGACTGGATTAAAGGAGTACTGCTCTACAGGCATCATCTCTTTAACTCATATCTGTTCCCGAAAAAAGGGATCATCTGATGGTACCTTACTTCTAAAAGCTGATAAACACTGCCCTGGATAAAGCAGCCTCTTCCTTTCAGGAGTGGTTTCTTCAGGTGTTTGTTACTCACTATTCTTTGTTAAGAGAAGAAAGAAGGCTGTAAATTGTTTGCTCTAGAAAGAATGAATCTTAAAATTGCTGTAATTGCAACATCACAGTAAGCTATGCTGTTTCAGGCTGGATGTGGTTTTGTTATTCCTGCTGTAAGCTATAAGTCCTGAATATTCACTGAATTTGTAGTGTAATACAACACAAAGGCTGTCCCAGTATCATGATCTTACACGCTTTTGAGCCTTGCCAGTTTGCTAATGATAAAATAAATATCATCCTAATTGCCTCTTATATTTTATAATCTGCACGTAGTGAAGCTGCTTGATTTTGTGCATTTGCTGTTTCTGAAAGTAATGAGAAACTTAACTTTTATTTTAATTGTTAAGAACCTAAAGTTTAGGCCAATTAAAAGTTTTATTTCCAGTCCTGTTTCCTTTATTCTATTACCAGAGGCACAAATCTGGTTACTGCATTATAGAAGTTTGTCGTTAATGTAGAACACAGTCATGCCAACTTGGCTTGAAGTAGAAAACAGAAAGTTAATTAGTCTCAGTAGCACGACACTAAACATCCTTGTAATGTTCTTTTTATTAGAAAAAAAAAGCAAGACCAGTAGCAGACTTAAAGCTGAGTTATTTTCAGAGCTGTGATTTTAGTTATCAAGACTAAAACATCTGGTTTTGTGTTTTGACAGCCCGACACTTCTTGCATCAGATTATCACAGGAATGCTGTATCTCCATTCTCATGGAATACTGCACCGAGACCTCACCCTTTCCAACATCTTACTCACCAACAACATGAACGTCAAGATTGCTGATTTTGGACTCGCGACTCAGCTGAAAATGCCTCACGAAAAGCATTACACCATGTGTGGAACTCCAAATTACATTTCCCCAGAGATAGCCACGAGGAGCCCGCACGGGCTCGAATCGGACGTGTGGTCTTTGGGTTGTATGTTCTACACGCTTCTTATCGGAAAGCCACCTTTTGACACGGACACGGTCAAGAACACGCTGAATAAAGTAGTTCTGGCAGATTATGAGATGCCAGCCTTTTTGTCCAGAGAGGCACAAGACCTTATACACAGGTTACTCCGCAAAAACCCCGCAGATCGCTTGAGCCTTTCCTCGGTGTTGGATCATCCTTTTATGTCCAGGTCGAGCTCTGCACAGAGTAAAGACCTGGGAACTTCCGAAGATTCCATGGATAGTGGAAACGCTACCATCTCTACCACCTTCACGGGCTCTTCCAGCGTCAGTACCAGTGGTTACTTGAAGGAAAAGAAGAAGCTGGTAGTTGGACAGCCACTCCCGAATAAAATCACTTTTTTTCCTCAAAACAAGAATTCCAGTAATAAATCCTCAGGAGATGGAAGTGGCTCTTTTCATCAGTGGGGGATTCAGGGAAAGGAGATGGGTGTACCGGGCAGGGGAAGAACCATTCAGCCCGAAGAAGAGAGACCCCACTCGCGCTACCTCCGACGAGCCCACTCCTCGGATAGGTCTGGCACATCCCACAGTCAGACTCAAGGCATATCCAATGTCATCGATCGATGTCACTCCATGGAAGTGCTTTCCAAGCCTAAAGTAGGAACAAGGGAAAATGTGGAATACTTTTCCCCTGCCAACAGCTACACTGATATAGGAGACATATTTAAGGAGAAGACTTCTAGTGGTTCTGGTTCTTTTGAAGGGCAGATATCTCCACCTGTCAAAGATCAACCACAGTAAGAATCAGTTTTTATTAAGATGAAATTTAGAGCTGGTAACACTGTATTTTTGACTTCTTTCTAGTAATACTATATTATTGACTTCAACTTTCCATCAAGTATTTCTTTCCCCACAGCAAGCCTAGTAGAGAGCCTTGCTAAATTGTTCTTTGTAGAAGAAACAGACTAGGGTAGAGGGCATTTAAAGTGTAATTACCGACATTTTTACTTGCTGATCTCTTGTGGGTTTTTTTTCCTGTTATGCTTACAGAAGATAAAAGAAAAAATGAAGGTTAGTCAATAGATTTAAAGAAATGGTGTACCAGAAAGTAAAGTGTCACTCACTCAAAGATAATTATCTGAAATTTAGTTCTGTACTTAGTTGTAGCTTCTGGGTAAAAATCCTGGCTTCTTTCTGTACATTTTTCCATCAACAGAATATCAAAGAACCATTTTCTGCTTTAAGGACTTTCCTATCTTATTTCATGCATTTCTCTCCACACTAGGAAGTGGCATGGTTTCATATGTTTATCTCTTTGCAAATCAGTTCAGGGAAAAGACAAACAAGCACTTTTCTCTTAGAAAAAGTAAATGGAGTAAGAAGCTTTTCTTGACTATTTAATGTTTGACATAAGGCTCTGTTCAACAAGTTCGGTGGGCATGTGCATTCTTTCTAGTTTGAGAAATGTCTGAATCAAAACATTTATGCAAATGTTAATGCTTTCTTTTCTTCCCTATGACTTCATAAACCCATGCTTAATGTAAACATGAGAGAGTAATAATCTGAGTGTGGGGATTAACTGAATGGTTACTACTAATTTCACATAATTGATTATAGGAAAGCCTCTGACATAGTTAGCCTGCACAGCAATCTTTAAGTGTGAGGTCCTAAGACTTATATTAGATATTTATATATATATTTATGTAATGTGGTTTTGGGGTGTTTTTGGTGATAACTGAGTCCTTGCCAATGGTAGAGTAGGGATCATCACTAAGAGAAAGTGCAGACAAGGAATAGGTTATGGAGATAAAAAACCTGACAGGAGCTTAGTGTGAATTGACAGCAGATCAGTGACTCTGCAGTAAGTGGTTTTATGTGCATTCTTTATCCTTCAACAGCTTGAGTTCACCTGGGACTACATAGGTCTAATCTATATGTTGTCTAAAAAACTGTTAAAAAAATCTTTATAATTTTTGGGGTTGACTGTCTTTTATGTAAATTCAAGTTGTTTTAGGTGGTGGGATTGGCTACATCTTTCAGCTGCATATGTGTTATGCTGAATGAGATCCACTCATGGGGTCACGGGTGTCATCACAGTCTTCTCCAAGGCTGTTTCCTGTACTGTGAATTAAGAGCCAGATGTAAGAGCAGCCACTGCTGGCAGCATTATCAATGGCTCTTTTTGTTCATGGATGTCAGCTCTAACAGGCTTAAATTTGTGCTAAAAACTAGTAATAACTTTTCACTCCGTTTGAAAACAGTGTTTTATTTTTTTATGCTTCACCCAGTGAAAGAAACATGTTCTGTGCCGCCTAGAGCTACGAAATGCCACCTGAAATTCTTAAATGTTCCAAGTGTGTTGTGCTTTCTGCAGCTGTAACGTTATAACTTTTGATGTGCAAGTGTCTTTGATGTAATCTTGATCACCTGTGCAACTTTTCTTTTTGCAGCTCAAATTATCTCTGCCCAATGAAGCCCCAGGTGGGTTTATTAGAGCAGAAGTCCCAGGCTGAGACAATGCAGCAGTGGCTTGGAAGCATGCAAACAAATGGTGTGTTCCTTAGCAGTTGGCTATTTGTTTTTGCACTCAGGTTGGAGCAGTGACTTGTTTTGGTGGGGTTTTCTGTTCTTTGTACAATGAATTTGAGTACTCGGTTTCCTAAAATGAGCTCGTTATTTTCTGTTAGCATCTTAGCAAAAACAAAAGAGGAAAACAGAATTCTAGAACCTGCCGTAATTATTCAGTTGTCACCCAAAATGTGTGTAAATGTCATATAAATACATGACAAAAGATTAGCAGGTGACTTGAAAGCCCCATTAATTTACACGTGCAAATACACCTTAAGAGAAGATGAGACCTCAGTGACTGAGAAAGAGAAGAGGCTGCAGAAGGAGAGGTGGAGGAAAGGACAAAAGAGACAGAAGGGAAAGAGGTGTTATTTGTCATGCATCGTTAACGTCATTTGCAAATAATGTAATTTAATCATTAAAATAAACCACAAATCTATTCTGGCCTTTTTGTTTTGATATTACCGGACTCCTTCCTTTCCTGCCTACAGGGAATTTGAATCAGATGACATATGGTCTGAACAATCCTGTTTCACTTTTGTCCCTTCTCAGCTGTTCAGCCACACGGCAGGAGGAGTGCAATAGTTACGTGGGTGAGGTGAAAGTTGATCAAGGGCTTAAATATCAGAGCTAGGAAAGCACTTTTAGGAAGCTTAAAGATAAAAATAGGTTTTGGTCTGGAAATAAAACAGCAGATTTGGAGTATGCATTTAACATCTTGAGTACTAAAACCTCTGATGATACAACATTAGTTAGATAACCTAGAACATGAATGACACTTGTTACTAGTGCTTATCTGCGTGGTAAGTAAGCTGTCTTTCAACAGAATAAAGTACTTCTTGTTTAAGACTCTACTTGAAATCTTGGTATTTTGTTTATAAATGTTTTTTAAAAATTGACATATAAAGACTAAAGACCATCATAAATAAAATCTAAAGACCAACATAAATGAAATCTAGTAACAGCTTTTTTTAAGGAGCACTGGAATTTTATTAGCAGTGATGTTGATTTGTACTAAGGTCATATAGCCTGATGGTTTGAACTGAGGAATCCCATTCTTCACTTGAATAAAGCCTTCTAAGGTGATCTTTTGAAAAGCTTTTAAAACCATAATAGTGTTTTTTCCTGCTGACTATGACTCTTCGAATCCACAACGTACCTTTATGATGCTTTCAGTTCCTCTGAGACCACCTGCAGACATAACTGGCAGCAGCAATGCACATGGAGGGTTTCGGTATCATCTGGATGTGCAGCAAGAGGCACCCAGAAATGCGTGGAACACCTTAAAAGAGATCAGGAATCACGATGCATCCGTCGACTGCCCGCATTCTTTAAACCAGAGAAACCCAAAGCAATGCATCCCTGGAGTTGTCTGCAAATCTGACAAGTTTCAGCCATCTCCCACGTGTGGCCTTTGGTCAACCTCGGAACAAACCCAAACGTGGGGCCAAGAACCACCGGCACCCCAGAAACCTGCGCTGCGGAGCATCGTGTCACCCCTCAACGCTCGCAGGCTGAAACCAATCAGGCAAAAAACCAAAAATGCAGTGGTGTGTTCTCTTTTTTTTTTTAAGCATTTGGGGAAAAAAAGTGGTATCTTGCCTTTCCAGAAAGTTGAACTGGTATATTTAATATGTTGTAGGTGAGCATTCTAGATACTGGGGAAGTGTGTATGGAGTTTCTGAAAGAACACCATTCACAGGAACTTGTGAAAGAAGTTCTCAGAATATCTTGTGATGGAAATGTGGTGAGTATGTTTTGGATTTCTTCACAGATGTATAAAGTTCATTCAGAGGATTTATTTTTTTTTTTTAATTTTTATTTAAGTGATTATTTGTTTTGAAATCCAATGTTTATATATGCCCGTAAACACTTCTGTAAACTGTGTTTGTAAACAGCCATACAAATATAGGGAGCAAGCAATTATTTCAGAGCAAAACTGGATTTGACTTTTGGAATAGGTGAAGTATTGTTGAAAAAGGCTGCTGTTAAATAATTGCATAGAGAGTGCTCATGGTAAATCATGGTAATTAATTTAACTGTGACTTATTCCCATACCTGTTAAAAGCACAGAGTGGCATAGTCAACTCAACATAATTTTTGTTCCCTTTTTGTAGATTGCAGTTTCTCATCCAAATGAAGGAAGAGGTTTCCTTCTTGGTGACAGACCTCCTGCTTCTTGTGAAGGCACCTGCATGTATAATTTTGACAACTTGCCAGGTAACCTGAAATTTATTTTACAATTACGATGATCAATGTGATATTTTAAGTGAACCTTGAGACTTCATAGCTTTTAGCCACTATTTTTCAGATAGCTGTGAAGTAAAACTCCTTTCAGAATAAGATTCAAACTACAGTTGAACTGGAAACAGTTTCGAAATTTCACAAGAAAGTGTAAATCCAGAGGTTTTAATGTCTTTTATATGGGAGTTCTAAGGAGTCATCCCTTTGCAATTTAGTGCACTAAAACTAAAGCTCTCATCATCTTTTCTTCGTTCCTACTGGGAACTGTTGGTAGAAGTAAGTCAGTCAGAAATAGTACTCAGAAACTTCAGCTATCAAATACATATTTTAAATTACTTATCTTTAGGCTGGTACACAGTGTTTACTCTGCTAACTCTTAAAAAAAATTTCAAATTTTCTTTTTTAGAAAAGTACTGGAAAAAATACCAGTATGCAGCCAAGTTTGTGCAGTTGGTAAGAACAAAAACCCCCAAAGTGACGTTCTATACAAGATATGCCAAGTGCATGTTGATGGAAAATTCACCCACTGCAGATGTTGAAGTTTGTTTTTATGATGGTATGTATTAATTTCTGCAGTTATGCAAATAGTTAGATCATTATATTAGAGCTGGACTAAAATATTGCCAAATACTAAACAACAATCACTTTAGTTTGAAGAAAATACTGCACTATAAACAGGGCTTTTTGTCCACTCTGTCTTTATTCTAGCACTTGTAGATTACTTGATCATTCATTATTTCCTTACTTCAGGAAGTACATGTTGCTAGAGTGTTATTTGTCACAACTTGTTTTTTATTGCTCTTCTTTCCAATAGTAGAGCAGAATATAATGGCAGAAATCTGTACAATTCACACTAAAAGTTGTTACTTTTTTTTTTTCCCAGGAGCAAAGATACACAAGACAGCTGGTATAACTCGTGTGATTGAAAAATCAGGGAAATCCTTCACTTTGAAAGGAGAAAATGAAGCAGGGCTGAAGAAGGAAATACAAGTTTATATGGATCATGCCAATGAAGTAAAGTGTTTTACATAAGGCCTTTTCCAGTGCAAAGCAGTTTCCTAAAAACACAGTTCCCCTTTCACAAATGTGCTTCCAATGTTGCTTTTCATGTGTTTCATTACACTAGTAAGGAGGAAGGATGGTGTTTTTAGAAGAGCAAATATCAGTGTAAAGGTAGCAATACCAATGCCTCCCAACAAAGGCTGAGGGGGAATTCTTGATAGTGTGTAAAGCAGGTTTGCCTGTCTGGTGAAAGGATTAAACAGGACTGATGAAGCTGCTTTATACAACTTGAAAGATTCATTCAGTACCATTGACATTTCCTTGCGTGGGCTCACCTGCCACACTAAACATCTACAAAATACTTCGTTCTCCATTTAAGGCTTTATTTAACTCCCTCTAATTTCAGGGACATCGTATATGCCTTGCTCTGGAATCTGCTGTTTTGGAAGAAGAAAAAAGGAGTGGAAGTGTTCCATTTTTTCCAATAATTGTTGGAAGGTAGTATCTTCCCCTTGAAAATACTCAAGTATTTGAATATTCCCATTCAGCAGCCTTATATGCAGCAAATGTTTGCAGAAGCCAGGGTTGCTTAACAGAGGCTCACAGTCATTAGCAAATATTAACTTAATAGCATGTATGAATACCTTATTTTCGACCTGCAGAGCCTCCTTTGATACCAAGATAATGTGCACTTGTGGATTCAGACTAAACCAGGCTAGCAATTAGCAGGTGTAAAAACAATTCTGCAGAGACCACAGCTGTGCTTTGCACAGTCTGTAGTGAGTTGAAGGGATTGAAGGAAAAGCAGCATCTCCTCACATGTTTCTTGAGTCTCTTTTGGACAGACTTTTTTTCCATTTTTTTCTCATATTTTTCCAGAAAACCTGGTAATACTGAATCACCACAGGCTGTAACACCGTCCCTGTTGGACAATACAAACTGTCCCAAAGAAGTTGTGGCACTGGATAGAAATAAGGCTGCCAGTTCTACTCCAGTTCAGACTCCAAACTGTACTCCTGTAAGTACATAAAGTATACCATGGAAACTGCTCTCCTGTAGGAATTCAAATATTGCTCTTTTATTTGAACTAATGGAATTACATTTGTATGGATGAAGGCTTTTATTAGCCATTTGTGAGCGTACTGACTAGAAATGTTGACTTTGACTTCAGTTAACTTTTGATACCTGTATTTAAGATCATTTGAAAAATCAGAATACTCCAAAACTTTACCACAAATTCCTCCTAGGAGCAGAGTTTGAAAATTACTTACTTATGTTATACAGCAGAGTCTCTGGTTGGAGAGCTCCTCAGCAGTGTATATTGAATGGCAGTCACAAAGGATGTGGGCACTTGATGTTGTTCTGAAATAATCAAGTGTTAATATGTGTATAAAAAAAGGGATAAGTGAAAACACACATGCAGCCAATAAGGCTTTGTGAGCAATTTCATCCAATTTGTTTAAAACACCCACCAAGCTTTGGTTCCTGCATCACAGCCCTGATAAAACTTCCTCAACCGACTGGGGTATAAATATACATATATATGGGGCTTTGCACAGTGAGTTTGTGTCATCTGAACTTTGTGGAATCTACATAATTCTGCATCTCTATTCTTTGACTGTGTAGCTCATGTGGTTAGTGCAGAATCTGACAATTATCACTTGACTGAGGTGAACCTGACAACAAAAATTCCTTAGGGCTTCAGTACTGGTGTTGATTTTCACACTGACTGAAGGTTACCTGTCATTGGAGTTGTAAGTTGAGGGTTCAGCATTCAAACTCAGTCTCTATTTGCCATACAGCAAACACTTCAGTCTTTAAGAGCTATATCTGTAGTTTCCTTGATACTTGAACTAGATCTGTATATCCTGAGGTACAGCTTGTTGTTTCCTTCCAGCTTCCTGTAATTATCTGGATCCTGATCTCTTTCCTGACCAAAATTCTCCTATTTGAGGCATTCCCTGATTTGCATCTTTTCACTGCACCTGAATCTTAAACACTGCTAAGCACACAGCACCTCATCTGTGTCATCTCTGTGACTGTGGGAGGAGGTATTGAGCAGTAGAACATGTTCCTTGTAGGGAGTAGTTGTGGTGTTGTCCTAAAGGTCTCTCTAAACCTATAACAGATTCTGTATGTGCTACAGACCCCTTCTATTAATGTTTCATGTTCTAGTTTCCAATTAACAGCAACGCCTGTTGTAAATAATTGTAAAACATTGGCTGAGTGGTCATCTGAAGGAGGGCTGCTTTATAGTCTAATGTTCTGCTGAAGCTGGACGGGGTTTTCTGACAGCAAAACCACAATTGAAGTGGAAAACTTAGGGAAAACAATACCTTTGTGACTACAGGGAGATGTCCTGTGGGGTTTTTATACTGTAATGCTGTTAAATGAAGCATACAAGCTAAATCTGTCTGTATATATGAACAGGTGGTAATTGCCCACTAAGCTGGTACATAATCAGTGGGATTAATTCTAAGGCTTTGTTTTGTGCATCTCTGGGTTCTAGGTGGTGTATGAAAAGCCAACATTTGTGACCAACACTGCTGAAACCATGTGCTCCTCTGTTCATCAAACAGAATGCAGTCCGAATTCAGCCCAACTTGTAAAATCTGTCTTTGTGAAAAACGTCGGTTGGGCTTCTCAGGTGAGAAATTAATACTGATAAAGGAGGGAAGTCTGTTCTTTTTCCTATTAAATTTGAGATATGTGTTAGTAAGTCCTTAACTTTAAACTTGATTTGTGAGAAATCAGTCAGTTGTGCTTTGCTACAGTTGAAATCTAAAATGTGTCTTAGATAAACACCATGGTGAAGAAACCTAAATAATGGTTCAGTATTTCAGTTATCAAAACTTTCCTGTGGCTGTTATTGTCTATTTCAGTGTCTTCTGTCATTTAAATTTGACTCAAGTAAAAAAACAGAAACTGTTAAAAGTTGTCCATTCACTAATACAGATGTCAAGGTGTCATGACAAAGAATTTTTAACACGTATGTACCAGATCTGTACAGGAGAAATGAATCTGCCTCTACAACAGGAAAAGCCGTTTCCTTACATTTTCCTTCTGCTTTTCTGTGGGAGCAGCTTTAGGCTTAAAAAATCTGGCAATCCAGATAAAACTTCCTGTCCTAACAGAAAAAGGTTGCTTTATATATATAAACTTTAAAGAACTCTCACAAATGGGCCTCTATTTTATGTTTGGTTCTATTCAGAATTTCTTTAGGAGTGCTTAAGCTAAAGGTAATTCTTTACCTGTCATTGATGAGGATGATTTACAGCTGAGCATGTGAAACCTTAGGAAGTTTACATGAGACTACTGACTCCAAAGTAGTATCCATGCAATCTTTATCTTTTAAAAAGACTGGCCATGATACCTGAGTCCCTCCAGCAACTCTGAAAAACTTTCAGCTTCAACTGTTAGAAAAATTCTAGGTACGTAATTTTGTACTTCATATCCTCAAACCATAATGCAACTTCTTCCATCAGCTGACCAGTGGAGCCGTGTGGGTTCAGTTTAATGATGGATCCCAGCTGGTGGCCCAAGCAGGTGTTTCTTCTATCACTTACACATCTCCAGATGGCCAGACAACCAGGTGAGTCTCTTCCTGCTATAAAATAGTCCAGGTAATGGTCAGTGCAAGGCTGATTTTGGTTTGTAAAGATTAAAACTTAAATATTAAAGCTTTTCAATGACTTCACAGCTGATTAGCTTATGTAATCTTAATAAATAAAATAAAATTATTTAAGCATCTATACTTTTCTATGCTCTTTTGCCTCTCTAGGTATGGAGAAAATGATAAGTTGCCAGAATACATCAAAGAGAAACTGCACTGTCTGTCTTCTATTCTTGTGATGTTTACCAGTCCAGCTGGTGCTCACTGATTAAAGCAAACCGGGTGTCACGTCATGAGAGCTTAATAAACTCACTCACTGACTTTTAAGTGAAGTGACTGATCTTACTCAGCTCATGCAGACATTCTTCCACTATCTGATAAAAAGGTAGGAAGGGTTGCTCTGTTTATGTATAGCAATTTCTGTGTAAAGTATCATACAAAATACGGCTTTTCATCAAAATGATGGATAAGCTTGCTCAAGCAAAACGTTGAGCAATTCAGTTCTTGACCGCATTAAGTTTTTGGAAATAATCTGAATCTGTTGTATTTTTTTTTCTTGCCCCACTGCTTACTCAGTGTGAACAGTCAAGGAAAATGTATCTGTGCTGTTGAAGTATTTGTAAATAACTTATATTTTTATGTGTTACAAGTAATATATGTAAATATGTATATGTTTTATAACTTCCTTTTTATTTTTTGTAGCGGCAGCTTAAACTTCCCTGCACAAGCATTTGATACAAAAAAAAAAAAAATAAATGCAGTGGTAATTGTCTGTATCTATTTATTTGTTTCATGATCAAGTGAATGGTGAGAGGAAAGGGCTCTCAAAGTATTAAGCTCAGCTTATGACAGGAGGCGAGCTGGTATTTTAGGGAAAATCATATGTTGGGAATTTAGGGCTGGGTGAAGCTTGGGAAGAAACAAGTCTAAAACTCTTGCACAAAGTTACTTCTAACTTGCTGAACTAAAAAAATTGTGCTGTGCTTTGTATATTCCGTATTTTACCTCTGGCCTACAGATCACTAAACCCAGCCTTGATTCAAGTCAGTTCTCCTTATTTGTCTAGTGTCTAAAAGAGAGAATTCTGATTATTTTGTCATGCCCAAATCAAGGAAATAGCTTGGAAATGAAGAATTTAGCACTAGGAACATCAAGGAAGATATAGAAGTAGTACTTATTATGAATTAGCTTATAAAAGTGAAGTCCTTTCTCATAAGCTTTTGTGATTCTGCAGTAGGACAGCCCTGAGAGGGGAATAAGACTTCTGTATTTCCTTCAGTCAGTATTGGAAAAATCATCTTTTAATTCAGTAGTTTTTTAGTGTTTGAACAATTGATTCCGTAGGAAGATGTAGGAATACATAGTTACATTTATTAAATTCAATGAGCATCAAATAGTAGAGACATCAAACAGCAGCCACGACTTTCCCACTGGAGTAATTCCAGGGTTTTTTTCCCAGTAATATTAAAACAGCTAAAAATCAACCCGTATAGATAAGCTTAGGCCCTCTTACGAGGCAAAATGACAATTTCACTTTTTAAAATAACCTCTGAATAATTAAAACGTTGAAAATTCCTGTTTCTTGTACCTTGTTACCTAAGTCTATAACTAAGCGAAAAAAACCAAGGAGCCAGTTTTCTCCTTTCACTTAATTACCACCCCTGCTCAGCACAGTGCATTCATTCTCACAAATGACAACTGAAGTGTGAGGTATCATGCTTAGTCTGTCTTTCTGATAGTTGAAAAAAGCTGTGCGTATTTCAACTTAGGGCAGGTTATCTTTCTTGCTACAGAAATGCAATCAGCATAACAGGAGAAGAAAAATTGCACATAGTTCAAATAGCTGATACTAATTTTTAAGGGCTCCTAACCACCTTAAAGACCCAAATCCCACACAAAACTACTTGTGCAGAGGGCATCTACCTTCCTCTGCACTTCTGTCATACTTCATTTGAAATCCTGGAGATGTAATAATAGGTAACAGGTTCCAGAATCAGACAGTCTGTATTAACCAGTGCTTACGAGGAACAAACCGAACATCAGATGGCTTGCTCAGGTAGTGATGTTTCCATACAAAGTGCATGCAGCTCAACTAACCTTGCAGTTACAAGAGAGTTACTAATCCTGATTCACAGAATCAAGGAAACGTTTCTTTTACTTCTTCCTGGAAAGGATGGCCGTACCTCATGACCAGCTACATTCATTTAAACTGTAAACACAACCTATGGGCCACTGTACTGATCTAATCTGCCTCATCCCTTCCTCTGCTGCTAGAAAAGGAGACTGCAAAAGCTCTCCTGCAGCAGGTTTGTAACCATACCTTGGGATATGACCAAGTTATGTGTTCTGTCTCTGCATAAGGTGTACAGTTGTTAGCATACAGCCAACAAGGTCAGTAGTTATGTACTCCTTGTTAAAAAGCAGTAATTAAATATTCTGGCTGGGTTTTACTTTTTTTTTTAAACATGCATCTAACAATTCTCTTCTTGCATCCTCCCATATCTGACAGAAAATGCAATTAGTCTCTTGTATACTATCTCCAAGAGTAAGAGAGAGACTACAACTACTCCACAGATTAGGCTAAATGCCCAGCGTGGTCCCAGGTGAGTGTATATTTGGCTCACAAAAACAGGCCCCAGTATCCGTGCTCCACTTCCAGAGGCAGTTAACCATCCCATGTAGACACCCTACAGCAGATCAAAAGCTTAGGTTAGTGATACAGGAATTATTTGGCTGGCCATTAATTCCGACCCCTTATCCTAATTAGAAAATGTAAAAGTATTTAAATAATCGCTTATCTTTCTTAACTCATTAAGATACTGATTACTTTGTTTCTAAGAGCAGTGCTCAGCCTCTCTAAGCGCTAATACAGCTTTCCAATGAAATGCATTCTGGCTCAAAGCATTTAGTCCCTGTCACCAAAACATAACATGAAAAAAAAAAGTAAAAAAATTATAATTTTTTTTGTTAAGCAGTAATGTCAGCTTGTTCGGTGTTTTACCACTATAAAATGTCAATAACTGGGGGCATCAGTAGCACTTATACACTTAGAGTCATACAATAAACTTAGTAAGAGGAACATTATTCCATACTGATATTCCACATATATAACTAGTTGTTAAAAAATGATTCTTCCAGCAAAGCCGTGAAATTTTGGCATTCTAAGATTTGCATAAATAGCACAAGCCTTGCTTTCTAATTCCTCTAGGGACTCGCCCTGGATTTTAGGAGATTAGAGTTCCTGCAAGGTTCTGCCCTTGTGTTGAAACGCACTATTATTTGGCTGATGCCAAAAGGAATTTAAAGTAGACCCCTCATTCTAATGAAGAGGGTGTAAGTCTTGGGAGAGCAGATGAAATAAAACTCTTTAGGGGATGGTGCTTACCTGGGGCTTTGGTCCGAGGATTTTCGAGTATAAAGTGTAGGACATGACGTTACAAACAGGGTAGCCCAGCCCTATGAGCACATCAGAACTGAGGTACTGGGCCAGGTAGACCATGGGAGTGTTGAGGCACCAGGACTGGCTGATGGGGCAGCCCACGGGTTCTGATGTGTGGTTGGATGGCGGCTGCATCTCCTGCCAGCTCCAGAAAGGCATTAACATTTCAGTGGGAACCGTTCTGGGAATGGAGTTATTCTTTATTTCTGTAAAAAGAAGTTATCCGTATAGTTAAGAACAAAAATACGATAAAAGCTTTAAAAACAAAAAATTATGAAGGTGAGTTAGTGTGACTTGAACTATACCTTGCCACTGGATATTTGGTAGTTTCTTCCCCCAGGGCAGTAAGATAAAGAATCCAACCAAGACAACCAGTAAGCCTCCATGGAGGATGGCACGCTCACCAGTCCTACCCAACAACAAAATTGCAATTACATGTCTAATTTAAATTAAAACTTACACTGCTGCTAATGACATGGTCCATTAGTTTGTAGAAATGATACCTGACCAAAACAGGTCAAGTCTGCAAGAAAAATTACAAAATCACTGTAACTTAAAACCTGTTTTTCTTGGGATTCAGGTGTAAAAGACTGTCAAGTAAGGGGGTTATGTTAACAGAATAAAGAACAACCACAACATCATGGCTGTGCCAAAATTGGAAGTACTTCATTATCACAGTAAACCCAGACTCATTACCAAGTGAAAGATTTGAGTAACAGAGATTTGGCCTTGCCATAAAGCTTTTCATATTTAGTAACATAATAAAAAAATTCCCCAAACTTACTTTTTTGATAGCGTTTTAACCACCATGAAAACAATAACTGATTCAATGCCAATCACACTAAGGATTATTCCATTATAAAAAACAGCTTCTTTCCTGGTCCAGGAGTACATATCCATTGTCAATGGAGTGGCTATGCTAAAATGATAGAATAAAAATACAGTAATTAAAAAAAAGCTGCTTCTATACAGTTGTTTCCATACACATATTGTCCCAAATATCAAAGACGGTGTATAGAAACCTTTCCTCTGATGGATATAGCAGAAAACACAGGCTAATTATAAAATAATTCTGTCAGGCATCATCTATTAAAGTTAAATTCACTAGACAAAATTCACAACTGCATTACAGCAGCCAAACTCTGAAGCGTCATTAATCTACTTCCAGTAGTTCATGAAAAGATGATGGAGTTAAAGCCAAGCCAGAGTACTAGAGACTGAAAAGAAACCAGACCCTGTGAGTATAAAAATAGTAAACTTTTAATACTGGTTTTCAGTTTTAGGAGGCAACCCATCTTTAGGAACTCTGTTTTCTAAAAATAGTGTAATTAAGACATTATTTAAAATATGGGCCATATTGTAAAAGAAATTTTAGCCATATCAGAGCTCAAAAAACTTTGCAGAATAACTTATATCCTCAAAGTATTTTGTAAGTTAAAAAAAATTAAGTACACTTCAGTTTGAGGTAATTTTGTTATGTTTTACTTATTTTCTTACACACAGAAAATTTGGGAGTGAATAACATACCTCTTCAGGTAAAAAAAGCCCAGTCATATAAAATAGTATATTTAAGAATCCAATTGCATTAACTATATGAAACAATTGTTTTAATTATTACTGAACTAAGAGGTTCACTGAAGCTTTTGGAGCTAATCAGAATCATACTAAGAAATGACCCAAAATTAAAATAAAAAGTACAGAACCAGATACTCAACTGAAGACGTGGTTTTCTCTTAAGTTGAGGATATGGGTTTGTCTCCATTTAAAAGCTTTTACATTAATGTTTCCTATACCACAGACTGTTCATATTTTTATGCTAATCTTTAATTCATTACTTTGTATCAGTACACATCAAATTGGTAGTTTATGAGTTTGAACTTGTATTTATGAAGAGTTGGTTAAGGAAATGAGTGGAACAGAAAAGACTTTACACGCCCCCGCCCCAATCCAATTACCTTACATGTCTAAGTGTTTTGAGAAAAAATATACAAACTTACGTTTCAAAGACTGCAAATACAAACAAGATGACAAAGAAGAGAACATTGAGTGCTACCACAGCAACATGGTCAACATTTCCTTCTGTGTCCTGATCCAGGGCATCATTTTCTGCAACAGAACAAAAGGAATTATCTAAACTGCAAACTGAGTTTTTTTCGTACCACCACAAATTACAAACAGCAGTGATTTCTTTAGTTTCTTAAGTATTTAACATGCAGGTTTGTGGGCAGCTAAGCAGTTATATTTTGACAATCTAACGATAAAGTTTTTAAATAAAAATTGAATTGTTGAAACTTCAGTTCTTCTGCCTAGCGACTGACAAGTCCTGAGTGACAGCAAAATAAGCAACCTGCTTTGAATATCTTATCAATGGAAACCAAAACACTTGTTGCTCTTGCAAGGTCAAAGCCACACAAAAGGATTCTCAGTGAAAATCTGGAAGGATCCATGCAAGTTTTTTTCCTTCTTTGCTACCTCACAGCACTATGGATACAACATTGACATGAAACAATTTCTGGACCAGTCAGAGAGCCTATTTTCCACTTCAAGTTTCTGGTGCATCAGAATACTTCTAAATGCTTACTAATAAGAAAGTACTTTAAAATTATAATCACACAAGTAGTTTTCAAGAAATCAGAGGTACCTTCTCCTTCAGAATTAATACTTTTGCACTGCCGTCCCATGTCATCCACTCGATGCTCCCTAGAAATGTAGAACTGTTTTCATTAATACACATATTTGATCTACTGTTGAGTCAAGTTTCTATTAAAATAATTGTAAATGGCATCATCTTATATGATGATTATTCCCAGCTCCCTTAAACATCATCTGTGAAGGTTACATTTGACTGCAGTGAACACCTCCCGCTGAGCAGCATATTCTTTACTACAAATTCCCCACAAAAACAAGGTAATTTTTTTTTTTACTTGATTACCTGAATATAAGAAAGATGAGAATAATATTAATAACTCCTAAGAGAGCTCCAAATAAAACTGGTGCTGTGTACATGTTCAGCTGAAGACGAATTAATTGCCATGTTACTCCTTCCTCTCCAATAAGCGTAAAACACGTCTGAAAAACTTAAAAACGTAAATGTACTGTGAAAATCTTGAGAATCGTTAATATTAGAACACACGGAGAATAAACGTACAAAACTGGGTAAGCAAAGTGCCAAATAGAATTTAAATATTATACCTGTCAAACCTCTTACATTTTGAGAATCCTACCCTAAATAAACTTGATGGATGCCAGTGGGGTCTCAACTAGCCAGAAAACTACTTGGTTCCATACAGACACACTGTATAAATAACATCATGACACTTAAAAGAACTGAATTCTGAGTGTACCAAGGGTTCATTTTCTTGGCAGAGAGCTGACTTACTTCTTTCCTCTTCCTCCTACATGAAAAACCTTAGTCCTGGGAATGGAGTAAATGTTTCATTTATATTGGCATACCTGAGTGTTGACGACTATTCATTCAATTCTGATACCATTGACACACTATGTCTTAATATCCTCACCACACAGCTGCTGAGGATTCCAACTTCCAGTGCCCAATTTCACCCTAATAAGCATTACAGAAGTGAGGGAATAATGGCCTTACCTGGCCCTAATATGAAGCCAACTGCTTGGCAGGCACTGGTGTTGGCCATGGCACTTGTTCTTTCTGTAAGAGAGGTGGCACCTGCAATATACGACCGGACTACAGCCACATTTCCTTAAAAAAGAAAAACAAACCACAAATCAAAACCAACGAAGTATTCACGTAAATATTAAGTTAGATGGTTAAAATCTTGAGTGACATTTATTTGAGGTTTTTTTTCCCCTTACTTTGCAAGAAAATTAAACCCTAGAGCTCTCTAGTATTTTTACTGCTGGTACTAAAGCATGACGTTAACTATCTCACATGAGAGACGGAATGTAATAATCTTCAGGAAAGTGAACTCTGCTGCGGTTACCTGCTCCAAACCCCACGAGAGCACGTGCAGTCAGCATGTAGTACTTGTTGTGTGAATGGGGCACGTGGACATAGGCATAGAGACAATTAGCAGCTACTGAAATAGCGGTCGAAACGACAAGAGGTTCTCTCCTGGGCCTGTAATTGGACCACAAGCCAAAGAGGGGAGAGGCAACCATTTGGCCAATGCTGTAGGAAGCTATGATCCAGCCCAAAAAACTCGCGTCTGCCGTCGCGTCGATCTGCAGAAACACATCGGTCAGTACCGTGGGTGAAGTATTACATTTATATTATCAATGACACTCTTTCAGAATTAGTACCTGGAATACCCAAGCCTCTGTACTGTAATGCTTTATCTGGGGCAATAAACCTCGGGTAACTCTCTCCAGCAACGCACCAGACCAAGAACACGTGCTTTGCTTCCCAGACTGGGAAGGGCTCACTTGCAGCAAACTCCAGTAGTTGTTGTGCAGCACTGCTGATGTTCCAGGCTACAGACATAACTTCAGCAGTACAGTGGACAGTTTACGTGCCAGGAGGAAGGAATCGTTTTCAATCATCTCTGCACATGCCTGAATCTGTCCTGATTTACAAGGCTGATAATGATTTTTTTTTTTTTCCTGGAAGAATTCAGCCCCAGCCTCACTTTTAATGATACCTCTAGGACCCTGCCCTGGATATGTTCTTCCAGATTTGCATTTGAAGGTGCCTTCTGCAATTCCAGGAGCAATAAAATCCTAGCACAGAGTAAACTAAAGTTTTAGAGACTTTTATGCCACTTTTACCAACGCAACAAAGAGGTGAAAAAATCCCATGCGAACTAAAATCGCTATCCAAGAGCAATGGCAATTCCCTGTTAGGAATATCAAGATCTATGTGCAACAATGTGACATTTACAGAGCAACTTCTACCTCCAGCTTCCTTTTTTTTCCAAAATGCAGAGAAGTCCTGTGTATTGCGTTTTAATAAAGAGAATTCTATTGATTCACTCTGCAAGAAAACGGTGAGATGATATCGGAAAACCAAACATTTCTGGATTATGATGTACCTTATAACAATTCAGGAAATCAACCAACCAGATTTTAAAAGAAATAATAAAAGCTGTCTAAGTGGATGGCAGAATAAAAGTCTCTTGTAACCACACACTTCCCTTTACTTTTTCTTTTCCTAATTAAAAGCCCAAGTTTTGTATCCCCTACTTTCTGAGCACGAGTTTTCTGTTCTTACTAGTTAAGAAAATCATATTTACAAACCTTTTGGAGATACGGCCACACAGACATAATTACAATTGAGAAACCTGTAATACAAGAAAAACGTAACCATATGAGAAAACAAGTTTTGATACATATTTTGAAACAGCTATCATACATTCCCATAAAGATCTTCCCTCTCAATAACTCTGCATTATTTGTTTTTGATCCCTATAAGTTTCACTTCGAATGATAAAAGTGTGACCTTTGTTTTGTTCAGTTCTGAGCAACAACCTTACCTTGCCACCACCTTTCACCCTGAACTGTAATAGTTATAAACCACAGATTTATGTAATATGTCACTTAGTCTCAAAACAGTTTTGTAACTTATTAAATGTAACTTTCTGTTTGATTTTCTAGTCATATTTTCTCTTATGAAGAATGACAAAATGCACCTTTTTGAGATTATAAAAGAGCAGTAGCCTTAAAGAAGCTACGTAGTTGAAACCTAGAATTCCCTGTGATTTTCATTAAAAAGTCATTAAACAAATAACATTGAAATCCACATGTGTTTACTCACCTACACTACTGAGAAACATTGTAAGGTACATAATCCAGATGGATCGCCACCTGCTCTTATAATGCTCTTGAGTTTCCACAACATCCCTGTTTTCAAACCAAAAGTCAAGAGAGAAAGAAATCATTATCAGATCCTCTTCTAGTTGGTCCCGCAGGACACTGAAAACGTATTTCACAAACCTCTCAACACAATTGTGTGAATTGTTATGCAGGAGTGGATTTCTGCTCAGCAAAGACTACAAAGAATTTTTTTTTTTTTCTGAAAAATACCAGGCTGACAAATCCAAAAAAATAAAAGAAAAGCTATCACATAACAACTGTTAGACAAAGAGATCTTTATCTAGAGAGGTCTTCAATTCTGCAAACTCTTTGTACAGACACTTTGTAGCATCACAGATGTCATATAAAGGCATTAAGAAGTGTGTATTAAACCATAAAACCCCACACATCTAATCACAGTTGTGACCTTGAAAGAACCACAAAACTCAACAACTATTGATTTGACTAAAAGCTGTGGCCGGTCTGTTCTCACAGCGAGAAAATAACAATACAGTGTAAAAGCCACACTGTGTAAAAGATAAGCTGAAGACCGTGAGGGCTGAAAAAGAATTAAAATACAAGTTACAAACTTTAAAAATAATCTCTGTTCAAATGATGTAGACTTAGGTTACAGAGGCCTGAATAGTTTATAAACGTAGTTTATTATATAAGTCATACATAGGCATGTCTGCAACTTTGAAGCTAATGTAACTGTGACTAATACTAATAACATATCACTAGTATCTTAGAATTATACGAATCACAGCACGATTTGTGTATCTAATTCTTCAAAAATGTTTGCAGCATTGAAATGCCTTGGTTCAAAGATACTTTAACCACCCAAATGAAGTGTCTAAATGTACTTTGCCATCTTATTGCCCATCACGGATAGAGAGAATTCCGCCAAGCGCTTGCATGTGCTGCGTTTGGTTATACTTTTGAGACCTTAAGTTACATCAAGCTTAAAGTTCGAGGGCGTTTCAGCACAGACCTTAATAAAGCAAAGACTCGCTCAAGTTTTGCTGTCAGAAGGAAAAAAAAAAACAAACAACCAAACAAAAAACCCAAGTGACAACCTCCTGCCCACACATGAAGGCTGATATCAAACACCCAGACTTCTGCGCCACTGTTCTGGTGTTTCCTAGGGGTTTCCCGAGTGGGTTCGTGTTTTCCCACGGGGAGAAGGAACCGGTCCCTGCTGCGGCCTCGGAGCGTCCCAGGCCCGGCGGTGCTCGGGGACGGCGGCCGGGTCGGTTTATCCTCCGCTGCTCTCCTCAGCTCCACCGTGCCCATCCCTCGGGGCCGGGAAGCACCCTCAGGAACCCTGCGGGACGGGCAAGGGACTCGGCACCCACGGGCGTGGGTGACTCGCGGGGGTGCCGACCCAACGCCCGGAACAGGACGAGCCCCCTACCTGCTCTCCCGCTCCTCCTCCTCCTCCTCATTCCCTTCCGCCTCTCCGGCCCCGAGCAGAGGCTCCCGGCCGTCCGCAGCCGCTCCCGCCGCTCCCGCGGTCGCCATGGCCGCTCCCGGGCCCCGCGGGCCGCCAGGGGGCGCTGACGGGCGCGCCAGGGACCCCGCCCTTCGCCCTCCCCCTCCCCTCCTCCCCTCCCGCCCCCGCCTGCCCCGGCCCCTCCTCCCGACCCCCCGTTCCCGCTTCCGCTCCCGCTCCCCCGTTCCCCTTCCCCTTCCCGTCCATGCGGTGCCTCGGCACCGGCAGCGCCTCGGGTGAGCCGCCGCGGGTGACCTTCTCGGGACGTGGGGGTCCCGCCCAGCCCAGTGAGCGGCGGTCGCGGTGTCCGAGCGCTCCCGCCGGGAGCTGCCGGGACCTGCCGGGGCTGCCCCTCACGGCACTGCCCGGCCCCGGGGGCGGGCTCGGGGTTCCGGGGGGGGGGGGTGCTGAGGGGCGGAGGGGCCGCGCGTTTCTGTGTCCCGCCTCCCGCCGCCCCTTCCCGGGGGCGCTGGGGCAGTGCAGGGTCCGTCTGGGGTGGGCCTGGGTGGGGGAGATTTGGGTTTGGGAGCTCCACCTGCAGCCCCCGGTCAGCGTGTGCTGAGCCCTGTGGGTGCGGGGAGCTGCTCACGCCCCTGGTTTCGGCCCCCTTTGTCAATAGTCCTCGGGCTCCCCCCCTCCGTGTCCATCCTGTCGTGGGGAATCTCTGTGGGGCTTGCGCCTGACTTGTCGCCGTGACTTCTCTGTGATCTCTTTGATTCTGAGCAGTCGTTTCTTCTATCCGAGAAAAGGACCTGGCGTTAATTGGAAGAGGTGTTCTTAAATAAAGTCGTGGGGTAGGGAAGTTAAGGACTCAGCCTTCTAAAGCAGACCCTCGTGGCTTTTTCAGGTTGACTTCTTGTTGGGAGCTGTTTCACGTCCATTTATAGCATAGAAGCAGCACTCTGCGCTGTCCTTAATGTACTTTCCAGGGGTGTTCTTCTGTTGCTTGCGCTGGATAAAAAGAGATGGCTGGAGTATTATGTGTTGGATTTTGGATAAATTTTTGTGTCTCTTTCAGCGAAATAAGTGTGCACGCCAAAAATTTATAGCTAGTGTGCAGCACGAGGGTTCTGGAAGCAAAAACCCTTCCTAAAGCAAGAGCCTAATTATAATTTATTTGCAGTTTTCCTTGTTGTCTTCTCTGAAAAACACGATTTTAAATTGAAGGGGCGTTTTCAGCGGAACACTTCTGAGCGCGGTTTTTTATATCTGCTGCGATTTCCACTCGCAACTCACAATTACGTAAAGCTTGCCGTGATAACAGGTCATTCGTTCGAGATTCATGACACAGACGGTGTCTGTGGGGCTGCAGAACTCGGCAGCGTCTTTATCAGGTCGATGTTTCCAGCTGACCCGTCTTCCCAAGGGATCGGGAGGCGTCAGGTGTGCTATCGAGTGGTGGAATGCTTGTTTCGCATTCCGAAACAAGCTCTGCTGATTCTTTCAGCAAAGGGTTTCGAACTCTCACTACTCTAATGCGCTCGTAAATGTGAAGTTGTGATCCCTCAGCCTCCAACAGTTGGATTTGCCTTTTCTGACAGTGAAAGTGTTTGTAATTGCCTTCCCATGTGGGTGTGGATGGGCTGTGACCGAAGCATTTCCTGCCCTGTTGTTACTGAGATTAAAAATCTGGGAGTGTGGCCCCTATTCTGTCTCAGTAGTAGTTCTGAGAAATTCTATACAACATACTTCACCTACTAGGAATATTTTTATGTTTTGTTCTAGTGTTTCCGTTACTCTTTCCAGTAGTGGTTGATTCTGATTCATTGAAATATCCTGAGTTACTTCAGGGTTTTTCATTCGATCAATGAAACAGAGGATGAGGCAATCCTTTTTGCCTCGATCAATGTTGCATTTAAATATAATGCACTTGTCTAGAAAGTTGTTTTGGCATTCCCTTGGTGCAGCAGACAGCTTATCAGGCCAGACTTTGAACTCAAAGCAAAATCCACGGGTCTTCCGTGTTTTCTCTCTCAGTTGGCTTTTTTTTCTGGAGAGGATTTAAAACTAAACAAACAGAACAACAATCAACCCGACAAAACATGCAAGGCTGCTTTGTTAAGCATCAAAACACTAATTTTTTTCCCAGCCTCATGGAGGGTCCACTCTGTTGCTGCTCCTGCCTCCACCACCCAGTTCTCTTCCAGCACCCTGAAAATACCTGAACTATCCCCCTGCTCCAAAAAGCAGAGGAGAGACCTTGCAGTGAAATCAATGGATATCTCCAGTTTGGGCAGGGAAAACGATTAAATTGAGGTTGGGATTCTATTAGACCAATATGGATCAGAATAATGAGATTACACAGTCAGCTGCTTGGGTCTGGTGGAGTAGGAACTAACAATTTCTACGTTTTTAAAGCAGAAGGTCCCCAAATTTGACTCTCTGATCATTTCATGTATTTATGTTTGCCCTGTAATGACTGAACCATCCTAGAGACATGGTGGCTTTCTAAGATACTTTTTCTAGTATTCAAGTACCTTAAATTGTCTATAATTTCTGCTTTCTGTTACTTATTCTAGGTGTTAGAGTTCTCTTTTTCTTTCTATGTCTTGATTCTTAAGTATTGACTCCTTAGAACTGCAGATGAATGGTTTTATTAATCTGACCAGAGTTTTAACTTGTAATACTCAAACAAGTTTACTTTAAGAATGACCATATTAGAGTGGTGCAGAATAAATGCATTTGGATTAAAATGAAATAAAAAAAAAATACCCACAAATTCAATTACACTATTTTGGAGTGTGATGAGGTTATTTAGTCCATTTAGTATGGAGGGATCTGCCAATATTAGAAAATGACTGAAATGAACTTTTTAACAAAGTCTTTGATTATTAAATCTGTTGTTTTCTTAGGTGTACACAGATCCTGGACCTTTTTTTTTTAAATTGAATAATCTGCATCCTGCTGACCAAGAAACCAATTTTGAGTTCTCCTTTTTTGTTGTGGGGTGTTTTTTTTTATCCTTCCACACTGGAAGAGCTCAGTAGTGGCTCCCTGTTCACTTCAGTAAGTATTGCTTTGAAAATAATAGCTTGCCCCAAATCTCATTGGCTTTAGCTATATTTGAGCTGAAGTATTTGCTGAAAGAGAAATGATACTGGCAAGGATTTGGATGGTGTGATTTCTTTCCTGAAGGAGCATCACGTTGAAAACCATAAGAAATAGAGAAAATTGTAAATGAATGGATAAAATAAGGATTGGGATGTGTGTTTAAGACACCAGTGAAGACAAGGTTACAGAAATAAGCTTTCTCTGCAACAGTGACTGGAACTAGGTTTTTTTTTCTTTCTTATAAATGAAAAATTAAGAATGCAGAAAACCAAAATGAGAAACTACTTTGTGTTATAGTGAATGAACTTGCCACTCATGTTAAAAATCCATTTTAACTTGTTTTTACCTGTGCTTTTTTCTAGATGTCAGTTTGCTGCTAATGGGTGTAAGTAAATTAGATGTCTTATACAGAAAGCTCCTCCTCACTAAACTTTTCATCAGAGGATGGGGAAAGCCAGAGGATCTGAAAAGGTGACTTGTTAAAAAACAACAACACAGACAGTACTTCATATTAAAAGAAAAAAAAAACCCAAACCTTGAAGTATAAACAGTTGTTACTATCCTGTATTCAAAACACCGAAAGTGTTCAAGTTTGTTTTGTTCGGGAAATCATGTGTTTCCATACCGAGGGAGTAACTGGATTTAAAAGAAATCTTAAAGGGATTTGCTAAATGTTTCTGTTCAAAGAGGCTCTTCTTGAGAGAGTGGGTGTCAAATTTTTCACTTATGCATATGGGATGGCATCCTTCAAGCAGCATCTCTGGAAGTGTTTCGTAAAAGCCAAACTTGCTGAATATCTCCAAAGGAATTGTTCTGTTTAGAGGATCTTTCTGTAACTTCCTAATGAGTTTTAGAAGTGTAAGATTTAATCAGAAGTTTCTCTCATAGCCCAAAGCAGTAAAATCTTTCTTTTCAAATGTTTTGAAAAGAAGAACAAAAAAAAATAAGAACCCCTCAATTTTTAAGTATTTGATTAGCTCCTGACATTTTATATAAATATGTCTTCTCTTTCTTTTTTAGATTAAAAGCTGAATTTTCTCTACTTGTTTCCTTTCAACAGAATATTTGAATTCAGAAAGATTATTGGAAACAGGGAAAAATGCCAGACTCTGGTTTCAAAAGATTATCCAGTGTTTATTGACAAGGTACTTGAAAGCAATAATGATAAAATGTAACTAAATTTGTTTTCCTGTTGGTATATAAAGGTGAAATAATTTGGTACTTTACAGGCTACTTTTATAGGCTATTAGCAGAGAATGGAAGGAAACTGAGAGACCATGTCTGTACAAATACTGTTTTGTTTTTTTTTTTTCCCAGTAGTACAATAGTTGGGGAGTGGGATGTCAACTATTAAAATTCAAACAATGTTCAAAAGTGTTTAAAATGGGACAGCATTACGCTTTTCCTTGATTCCTGTGAAGGGTCGTTTAACAAAAGCAAAGTGGGAAAGAAATGTTTTGGCTGTGTTGGTAACTTGTATCCCCACATCCGAGGACTAGACCTCAGGTTTGGGTTTATTTACCTAAGTTTTTATGCTATAAAAATTCTTCTGCTTGAAGAGATTTGATTTCAGAGCAAGTTAAACACCGGTATGACATATATTGCTCTCATCCCGTTCTGTCTGTAGGTTGAGGGGCAATCTGACTGTAAAATCCTCGAGGGGCACTTCATCTCCCCCTTGGCCCATTGTGTCCCAGGTATCCTGCCAGTCGAATCTCTTGTAGCAAGGTAAGAGAAACCACGAGGTCTTCCCTGTCTGAAATCAGTGCTGCAGAGAAGTGAGAATGGTCTATAAGGAGTTTTTTAAAATCGTTTGGTTTTTTCCCCAAATAAATGAGATGCTGGAAATGAGGAACAGTAGCTGTCTTGCACGTAGCAGAAGAGGCTGTTTTTATGAAAGCATGGTGTATTGTATTTGAAGGAACCATTGCAGCTTTCCATTTACATTGAATACAAAAATTTGGATGTGTGCTGAAGTAGCAAGTTCATTTAATTGTAGCCAGAGAATCTGATGCCTTTCTTACTTGGCAAGCCAAAAAAAAAAAAGCCTTGTCACAGAAAGCTGGGTGATCCCTAACAGTGGTGGTTTCACACTAGCACTGCTTTGCAGTTGAGGACTGGGTTTGGGTAGGGAGCATAATTTCTCTTTGCTTTAAGTTTTTGGCTAAACTGTCATGATGGATTTTTTTTTCCCAAGCTTTGTTTTTTTTAACTAACTTGAAAATTAAAAGTTTGTCAGCTGAAGTTGATACTGGCATTGTGAATTTTGTCAGTAATACTGGCTGATATTTTTGTGTGCTTAAGCGTGGGACACTAAGGAATGTGAGAAGAAGTTTTATAGTCAAGATACTGGTTGTGTTCCACCTCTCTGCTGGTTAGAGAAAGAAACTGTCTCTTAACATAATTCAACTAATTATTACCATACTGGAAAATACAGCATGCTGGTTGTTTCCTTATCTGCGTTCTCTTGCATCCTGTAGCCAAGTTATGCCAACTGTTACTTTGGTCGCTGTTGTGACAGCTGTGAAATGCTGTACAAATTTCCCTGAGGATGGTTGTGGATTGTGTGAATGTTCTTTCCTAAGTGTAACGCTGTTGGAGGTAACAGTGCTCCCTCTTGTGGGGAAAATACTAGTGGCTCAGAAGCGACTTTTTTTTTTTTCCCAGTAGTTAGACTGTAAACGCCTTAATAGCAGCAGAAGACATTAGGTGATGATGTTGGGGATGTAGAATAGATTTATGGTTTGTATGTTGGGGTTTTGATGATTTTTTTTTTTTTAAATGTATTGCTCATCTTAATCTTCAGTTTCAGCTGTTGTGCCTTCAGGAGAAAAATAGCAATGCTGCCTAGGAGAGCTGGACATGCTTGTTTAGGCTGCTCTTTAGCTGAAGTTCCATTTCTCCACTCTGCAAAATTTAAATTGTGATGATGAGGTAGTAGTCTTTTTTAGGAACGTGATCTTTCATCTTGGCTCCTTTTCTTGTTTGGCCTCTCTTCTGTCCTGCTTTCAGATTCCTTTGTTTGCTGAATGTGTTGATGAAAAATGATGTTGCTGAATCGCTGGCAGTTTGCCTGTGTGCATTACAAGTACTTTATTTAGTCTTTTGGGATTTTTTTTTTTTTAGATTAATATCTCTTGGTGCAGCTTGTAAATAGAGGTACTTACTCTGCTAAAATGGGTGTTTCTCACAGATTTCAGTTCATCATCCCCAGAAGATGGAACAGCAAGCACAGACCTGTGTGCATTCATTTAGCAGGCACCGGAGATCATGTGAGTGTGTAAAACGTAAAACTGATTGTTACTGAAAAATTAAATAATCAGATTCTGTCTTATATATATATTATTTGTACATCTTATCTTTAGCACTTCTGGAGGAGACGGACACTAATGGCGAGGCCAATGATTAAAGAAGCCTCTATGGCTTCCCTGTTGCTAGAAAATCCTTATTATATCCTTTTGTGGAATACACAATGCTAATTAATAATGTTCTGTCCAGGAGGTAAAATATTTATCCCACTGGTAAAATACGTCCTTTTTGGATCTATTTCCAGTGGACTTTTCAGTGCACAGAAGCAAAGAAAGTCTGACCACTGCAAGAAACACAGTGTGGAACACAGTTAACATGATGAGCTATGTTTACACCAAGGATGGCTTCTCTGATTTTTTAAAAAAATGTCTTCTGCAGCTTCTTCTCGTATTCATTAAAGTTGTGGTCTGAATGGTGTAAATCTCTTAGCAGTGACTGACAGAGAGCTGTGCATTCATTCTCTATCATACTGTAGCTGTGGTATGGATCTATTAATGAGAGAAAAGAAAGTTGCCCCTCCTGCCTTCCATTCTCAAATGCAATTCTTCAGTATCTCATGTACTTTTGAGAAACTTACTACTGGCACTTAAGATTTGAGGTTTTGTTTTAAAAAGCAGTCAAGTTTTGTCCTGTCATCTTCTATAACAGCGTTACTCTGTTTTATTTAATTTCTGATCAACACTTTTCTCTTACCCATATACCTGACAAGGGTAAGATGTTGCAAACTACGTTATCAAACTACATTGAACTTGATTTATTTAAACATTGGGATCGTAAGTTCCAAATTTCAATTAATCCATGCTATTTATGTATGTGATTTATTTTTTATTTGATTTTTTTTTTTTGTTTTGCTTTAATGACCTGTTTTTATATAGTCTCTTTTACTTTCTTTAACTGGAACCTTTTACATGGCTGTAGAAAACCTAAAGATCAAATGTAAGTATTACCGTTACATTTTTGGATACTGCCTTTTTGAAACAGTGCTTTTTATTTTCTCTCGAGGAGCTGAACGTTGTCTAAACTTTGATAGAGCTTGTTAAGAAAAAAAAAATAAGTCCAGAGAATGGACCGCTTGTAACCTGCTGATGTGAAATTGTCTGCTCTTTGCTTAACTACTTTGTTTTTTTGTGTTAGGAGATCACAGGGATCAGGGAAGTTTGCACGAGATGAACTTGCAGTATAGAGTGAGATGCAGACACGTTCTGTGAATACAAGCAAGTGCCACTTTATTTTCCTGATTCACAGCTGCACAGATGTACATGTACAAATGCTGCAGTTGTATTCCAGTCAACTATGAATGATCTGTGGTCAGATACTGTATTTCCCTGTTATTTTTATATATATGTATTGCTAATATTTTGCTTTTTCGAGATGTTTTAAGGGTTTACTTAAATTTCAAGAATTATTTTAAGAACAAATCTGGTGTTTCTTGGTTTTCACACAGTGGGAGCCGTGCAATATTCAGTATTTTACAGGATTTGTTCCCTCAGTCCATTTCTTAAATGTGAATTTAGAAGCCTAATTAGGTGGTCCTGTTTTATTTTTGCTTTTCACATTGTCCAAACCACAGAAGTATTAACAGAATGCAACAGAATGTGTATCTGAGGCAAAACTGTGGTTTTAGTCTCCCAGTATTTCTTAAAGGTCCAAAGATGAGCTGGTGTTTTAATCCTTTTTAATCCTAACTTGGACATTTAACCTGAGCAGAAGACACAGAGAGAGAGAGTGATTTATGAAGGATTATAGGAAAGTTGACAGGAGAGAGTGTGTGCTGGAATACATCCATTGCCAGTTATTGATGATCTGCTGCAGTAGAATAAATTCAGTAACTCTGTTCTCAGTTGTCCAGCATGTCATCTTGGTAGTTGTCTGATGCAGAGAAGGATTCTTTCCCAGTCTAGAACCCCAACAGGTAATTGTCACTCTTCCACACAGGGTTGGTTACACAGCAGCAGTGGTTTCGGTTAATACGCTGGCAACAGTGTTTAATAAACCCAGCAGCTGCAGAGGGCTGAGGAATCTCATAACAAAGCTGTAGGAAAGCATTCCATCAGCCTGTAAATGCTGGGCTGCAGCAGCTCTGTTCATTTCTGTGTGACTTCACAACGAGCTTTGTCCTTGCGCTTCGGAGTGTCGCAAATGTGACGGTGGCGTGCTGGCAGGAGAGCCCAGGAGCCCTTTGTAACCTGGCTGGGATACTGAAAATACACAGTCCCCCTCCCCAAATTAGAGCTCTGTTATTTTTAGTCCCTCTGATGGTTCAGCTGCATAGCTTTCTATTTTTTTTGGGGGTGTTTTAGTGCTTTGCAGCACATTACCTGAATTTCTCGGTACCGTGACAAACTTCACAGTTTCAGTCTTAAAGTGCCACTGATGAGTGCTTCCAAAGCTGACATACTGATTGCTCTTCATTGTAGTGTGCAATTTTTCAGTGATGTAAATAAGGTAAATAAGAAAAGAAGAAAAAAGATGGTGTATGTCTAGGAGTATATGTCTGTATAGGACAGTATATGACTGTATCACTTTGATCCTATTTCTAAAATATCCATTATAACTTCACAGGACAGATTATTACCACTAATGAGATGCTAACGTTGATAATGTCTGTCTCCAAAAGACCAGGCTGTCAGTGATATTGCATTAGAAACTTAGCAGTTGCCTATTTCTAGCCTGCATTTGGATGGAAAATTGCAAGTGCCCGAGAATCTGGGGTCGCTTTTTCTCCTGTTGAATCAACACCAAGTTCAGCTCCAAAATTCTCTGGCGTTGTAATTAAGCTTTGTGTCTAAAAGTATGTATAGACTGATGTGGACTGTCAGAGTCTAATCTTGGAGAATAAATCCCGTATTTTCCTTTTCTGGGGAGAAAAGACGGTCATGTTTAAAAAATGTCTCGGATCTGTTTGTGATGGGAGGAGCTCTAATTCTGGAATCAGCAGCTCTTTTGCACTGGCTGGAGAGAGAAGGCTATGGACCACTAGGGATGACTGGAATATCCATGGGAGGACATGTAAGCTTTTATGTCTCCTGTTCAGTTTAATTTTTGTTTTAACTTCTCATTTGATCATGTAGCGTTCGGAAATAATTTGTTTTACAGGGTTGGTCTCAGAAGTACTTTAAAATAAACATTTAGAGTCATGAGAAACAAATTGTTGGCAATTCTCATGTTCTGTGGTGCTGAATTAGTGTAATCCTTAATAAGTACTGACAAATCATAGAGCCATCTCCTGGCAGGCTGAATAAGAATATAAACTTCTCACATAATTGTTTTTTTT